TCAAGCTTGCAATACTTGAGTACAAGAACCGCTGAGTAATTTACATGCATTTAATTTACAAGTCCTTTTATACATATTTATGATAAGTTAAAACTGCTTAGTTCTTGTAAAATTTTGGTGTTCCATTGAATCTTTATTTTCAGGTAAACCCTGTATTTTGATACTACATGTATTTACAGTTGAGCTTTCTTATCTTGAAACTCTGATATCTCAAATACCAGGGATATGTTGAACTGATTTCACAGTTTCAACCCTTTTTAATGTATGTTTTTTTTTAAACATCTTTATCTCAAATCCTCAGATATCTTGAAGTTTAATCTCAGACCAGTTGAGTTTGAGTCTTTGATATATTGAGGTTTGATTGTACAATATCTTTAAATTTTTTGTATTTCATGTATTATATCTTTGTAAAGATTATTATTATGTGCATTTAGAAATATTAGTTTAAAAATATTAATTAGCTAGATGTTAATGTAAAAATTAGATACTGAAAAACTTTTTCATAAACTTGTTTCTAGTGCTGCATCATCAGTATGTTATAGCTACATTTAGCAACATGAACTTGAAATTTAAAAATGTATTTCAGTAATTTATATTTACATGTAGTTCACCAATATTTGTCAGTTAAAATCAAATCAGTGTAAAGCATGGTTAAACCTTCACATTCACATCTCATATGACCTCTGAACTATTTGTTTGCACCCTTATGTGGTTGTCATTACATCAGTGGGTGTGGTTTATATATTAGGAACAGGTATAGAGGTCAGATGGGGAAAGTGCTAAATTAGAGTCCACAGAAAGGATGTACACATCTCTCTAGAAATTGTATCAAGTTTGATCTCATTATAGTGAGGTACATGTGTGTATTTATTTTGGTCTGTATTAGGATGATAACAGACATACATGTAAGACTATGGGATAAATCTTACTTAAGAAACTGTGCTGCTCATGTGAAAAGCCACATGCTCCCATGTCAGTTAGAACTTCATACAAAATATTCTCTTATTCTATTATTAATCCAGAAATAGTTGTAATCATTTATATATGTGCCATATTATCACTATAAACATAATATAACAATGTACTGTAAAGTAAGCGAAAAATGTAAAGGAAGAAATCAAGAATTTGTAAATTGTTATGTTCTCATCTAGAAACTTTCCCATTTATATTTCTATTGTACCCACACACAAACACACACACACATATACATGTATACATATATATAGTAGTAACTCTGGAAAAATTGATATTCAATCAACATTCCTTTGAATTATTGAGTTTGTTAAGGAGGGATTCTTCTCTTATTCAACACATATTTCTTGTATTTAAAAATAATGAAATTTTCACAGATTCAAGAAGACAATATCGCTAAGTGATTGTATCAATTAGAGAAAAATTTGACCGTTTTATTTTAGAAACAAGGTCAGGTCAAGGTCATTATCTTTTTCCTTGACATTTAGAGTAAAAAAATTACTGTTGCTGATCATGTGATGCCTACTTCTATTTCAAAAGACAAAATGTTTTTCTTTTTGTACAAAAAGATGTTACCATATCGGGTCTATCAGATAATTCTACCAAATTAATTGACATTATTTAACTTATTTAGATACATTGTATTAGCTAATCCGGATTTCCTCTGTTTTTCTTATTTTTTTAAGGATATATTAGTTATTTTTATATACTTCTTATATTTAAATATTTCTTATTTTTACATATGGTAAAGTAGTCATATAAATATACAAAACAAACAAAAACAAAAAGCTTTGCCCGTTTAGTATGAGAGAAAAAACACTTTTTACTGATTTTTTGCTCAAATCTGTTTTAAGGTTGGAGGCTTTCAAAAGCTAACAAGATTGTAGTTTGTTAAGAAAATCATTTTTATTTGCTATGTTTTAAAACTTTAGGGCATTATTATTAATTTTAGTTACATATCAAAATTTCTTCAGGTCTTTGATTGTTTAAAAAAATTAGCCACATTTAATGTTTTGTAAGTGATTTTGATAGGCAGAAAAGAAGATATTTTCATACACCGCAGTTGCGCCAAAAATATAGTCCCTTATGGATTCAAACTCAGTTTACCATTTCTATTTAAAATTGTACAATTATGATGAGTAAAGAAAAATATGATCTTTTAAATACATTAAAGCTAAGTTTATAAGACATACAAGCAAATATACTTGGAATATTTCGTCTGTCAGAAACCAGACAAGAATCCCTCCTTAATCATTTTATGTTTTATTTTTTTATACATGTATCGGTAAACACTGGCATTCACTTAATCCTACATTAACCTGTGTTCATTGTATAAAACTAGTCATTATGTTCCCCAAGCGGAGAATGGAAGTATATTGTTTTGACTACTTATTATTATTATAGGTCTCTTTTCCTTTGTTCTTATTATTATAGGTCTCTTTTCCTTCTTTCTTATTATTATAGGTCTCTTTTCCTTCTTTCTTTTCTGGTACTTTTCTTCCCCATGTTTTGTAAAAAATATACTCATAATTCAGATGAAACTTTTGAGGACTGAACAAGCATTTTGTATATAGATTTGTGATCCAGTCTTGTTTTTGTGTGAAGTTTGTATGCATGTGGGTGTACATGGAATAATTGAAATGACAATTAATAAAATTGCTAATACAGTTAAACTTGTTAAGTACGAACACGGATATAGCAAATTTACGGACATAGCGAATTTTTTAATCCCCGGCAATATATTCTTAACAATTCTTTGTAAATTTTTACAGACAGAGCAAACTCAGGTATAGCAAAATTATGGATATATATAGCAAACTGACTTATTGTCCCCGAGAAGTTAAAAAGAATGAAATTTACATCTTTCATAGCAAATTTTCAAAGATTTCAATTTTTAAAATATTGAACTGACACTGTTTTTACAAGTATTTTAAATGTGAAATTCAATTCATCTGAAAATTTTTGAATTCCAAGATAACTTTTGTATTTAATACTTCCCCAAATACATTTGGTAGTCATACTTAAGGGGAAAAAATTATACTGCAAATTTGCTATATATACTTTAACAAATTATAATAACAAATTACGGATACATATTATAGCGAAGTAATTTTGTAGGTGCCCAATACTTCAGCTTTCCCCAAGTTTTACTGTGCTTAAATAAATGTAACCTTCTTAGCCTTTATTGAAGCAAATTGAGATTCTGATTATGTGCATACAATGTATGTGAAATATTCTGTATGGTATGAAATCACTCCTGACCAGTGTTTGCTTTCTATAATTTCAAGATGCTTGAAAGGAATGGGTTACCATTTGGGAGTATAGAAGCAGTTTGGGGAATATCTGCAATGGTCATTACAATTAATACTAGCTTCTTCTCACTGTGTTTTCTTATTACATTTTTTTTTCAATAAAACTTAAAAAGATTTTTGGGTTTTCATTTTTACTGCTGATTCATCATAGTAAGGTTACATTTAATTAATGATTTCAAATTATGTATTTGATGTAGGCTCGTATTGTATGACTCTTTAGGTCACTTGAGTCACTTAGGTGACCTACTACTATCTGTTTTCACCCATTGTCATCACTTGTTGTAAACTTTTGAACATTTTCAGTTTCTTCTCTGAAGATGTGTTAATTCTTTGAAAATCTTATTTTCTGCCCCTAAGCATCTAGGTAGAGGATGTGATCAGGAAGCCCTGGTTCGATTTTCGTTTGCTGCACTGCATCAAACCTAAGACCTAAACATATAGGTAGTGACTGTTCCTCTGCCAAGCGCCCAGCATTAGAAGTGACTTCTAATCAGGTCTTTCAGATGAGACCTTAAAAATGTAGGTCCTTTGTCATGATAGGCGTTGGCATGATAAAGAACCCTCACTGCTCAATGGCCCTGAGGAGTATAGATCTAAATTTGAAGCCCATCACTAGTTTATGGTGATGTCTCTATATGAGTGAAAAATTCTCCAATGGGACATAATACATCTAAGGATGCACATTACCAGATTTGCTTTGGATGCTGGATTTGACCTACATTTTCCAGATGAGTGACTAGGTTAAAGTTTTTGGCACAGGTCCACTACCAAGGAACTATAAGGCTTTTTAAAATACCTGAACAAAACTTGCATGGATGATGCATCAAGGGATGAATACCCTTAAACTTGCTTCAGATGCTGGATTTGAATTGTATTATCTGGATGAGTGACTAGTTTGAAGTCCATTCCAAAGTAACTGCAAACCCTATCAGATCAAAATTGCATAAATGTTGCATCTTGGGATGGACATGTACACTATTATTGGATTATTAGTTTAATGTAGGACTCTGCCTTACTTGAGACAACATTTGCTGAGGTGAGCTCTGTAATCTCTGATTACCTTTGTTTGAATAACATTATTGTAAAACCTTTGCAACCCCATCAAAACATATTTCTAAAAAGAAATAACCTTAATTCAAAGTCACAGTGACCATTATGTATGGTCAAACACACCTTCCCAAAATGCATTAGTTGACCGAGTTTGGTGATTCTAGGTCTAATAGTTTTCCAGTTATGAGCTCAACAAAGTTTTGCCATATCATCTTAATTAAAAGTCACAGTGACCTAGTTTAACTGGATACAACTGAATGGACACATAGACATAAAGACAGACATGAATGCCATACATAATACACTCTGTCTTAAGACAAACAAAATATTAGTGATTCATCATTTTTTTTATTGATCACATTTTGTTGACACCATTATGCATTAATTCAAAAATGCTTTAATTTGGCACTCAAAAAAAAAAAGATGAAAGCAAAGCTGCAAATACTGCCTAGAATGCTGCAGATATGATACACAATGCCACACTGTATGTAAAAAATATTCACAATCAGTTTGTTCCTCTGAATAATACCCAATTCTTGGGAAAATGAAATTTTTACATGTGAAGTGGTGCTGTTTAAGATCAATAAACAGTAAAAATGTGGAATTTCAAAACTGATATAAGATAAGATAAGATTTATTGATACCAATTTGGGGCCCTTCAGGGCATACAAGTAAAGAATAATATACACAAGAAGAAATTCAAAATTGATAGCAACAACATGATATATATATATACATTATATATTACAGTGTTTCATATTTAATGATGTATGTGTATTTTTTGACTTGCACTTAAGACAGTACTGCTAAAGCTGTCATTTATTTTCTATCGTAAGGGAAGCTCAGAGATCAACATTCCAAAATATGATTATAGCAGTTGCTCTTTGATCACTAATTCTTGGTACAGTCTTAAATTAATTTTACAAGCAGTTTTATAATACAGTACAAACATAATTCAGTGATAGCCTATATGCAGTATTGTTATCAGCTGAGGTAGATGATTCATGCATGACACAGTCTTTGTGCACAACTCCTAGTTTTATAACTTTCATTTAAAAATTATCTAGTTATAGGAAAAACCCTCTTTAATGCATTTATGATATTATAATACTCACACAAAAAAATTATGTGTACCTTGCATATATTTAAATAAGTATATTTTTAAAAGAAATTTCATCACTTCATCAAACATGTATGACTTGTTCGTTTTATGTGTTAAGATTGTTAACATTGATATGATATACAATTACATATACTATGAGCAGAACATTGAATTGCTCCTTTTTTATGGCTTTGAACAGATTCCAGCATCTGCCCTCCATGAGACATATATGTCGAACAATTAATTGCAGTCCTTTTTTCTCACATTCACCCATAACTTTTGTGGTTTTCCCTTTGTTTTACAAGCTTTCAATATCAAAACAAGATGTCAATAATTATAAAAATTTGATGAGATTCCTGGAATAATGAGTAACAATAACTAATATCTTGTCCCTCAGGACCACGCATCGTGGGACTGGATTGGATATTTGTCCTCATATTTAGACACATGTTCTTTCAGAGAGTCCATTTGTTTCTGTATATGTGGTGGAATTTCATCATAAACATCATGAAATATTTCTTTTGGGCTTGGTTTCTTTTTCTTCTCTGCTTTTGCAAAAGCTTCCATCACCTTTGTGCATGAAAAATGAATAGGAAAAAAATTATACAAAACATAACAGTGTCAGACAGTTTGTTTTACAAAAAATTATTAACACGTAGGAACCCTCTTAGTCTATACACTGTACACTAAGAGTTCTAATTCCATGGTATTTTTATGCAGTTAGAGTGATCCACCCTTAGATCTAAAATGAAATAAATTGAAATCCAAAGTTCATGACTCGATTTGTAATCAGTCCAAGCATTCTAAACATTTTATTTTGGCCTAGATCAGAGACATAAATATTTAAGTCTCTGCCTAGATTAATGAATTATCAAACACTATTTGCATATACTTCTCCCATTTAAGTAAGCAACAGTGATTTCAGTTCACCAGCACTTCATTGTAATTGAATATTTTTTTCTGGGGGTAAATGGCAGGTACCCTATATTGAAAATTAAATAGATAAGCTAAACATTTACATTTTTATATGATATAATTTCTTTGGAGTCCAAAAAAATTATTGCTTGTGTCCTTAGAATTATAAAACTTTCTAAATTAAGATTTTATCTTCAAATTGTTATTTTTTTTTAATTGAAAAACAATTTTACACATTGCTGTAGGAAAGGAAATTGATATAAAATCATTATATATATATTACATAGAGGTTCAATTACCTGGATTTTGTGGGTACCTCTATCCAATGAATTTACAACCCCAATAAAGGACAATATATGATGAGTCAATTTTGGTCCCCACAAATCTGATTCAGATATGTTATATTGTTTTCTATTTTGTACAAGAGTTTATTCTATAGACATATCTTCAATATATTTGTCTCATTCATAGACACTCACTGGCTACACATGATGTCAGAAATGAGGCTTTTTTTGCAATCCAATCAAAACTAGAAAGAAATATGGTATTGCCTTTTTCTCAATACTTTTCCAATGGGAAATGTAGAGTGCCAATTTGAACAAGTAAAGATTTTCCATCAGTTATTAGTCTTGGATAGATACACCTTTTAATTGGTGAAAATATAACGTTTGTTCCAGCTACTCTGCGCTCAATATTTTCTGGAAAAAAATTGCTTGAAAATAAGTAATTTTATACAAAATATGCTAAAATGCCTGGAAAAGCTGAAATTTATGATGTCATATATCTAAATTAATGGCATTTGGATCAAATTGAAAACCATGAATAAAAGTCATGTGTGTATTGTTATTATATTATATATAATTATTTTATATATAATTATAATATAATATATAATATAAATATATAATATATATTATAATTATATTATATTAGATGTGCAAAGTTAATCAAGGTATAAAGTAAAATTAAGATATTCATTTTTGGGGGGTCATTTAAGACTTATATCACATATTGTTCTTTTAAACTAAAAATTCATTTTTATAACAAAAACAAAATATGCTTACAAACTACATCTCAAAGAACCTGTAAATTTTACGTCTCCTAGAAAATTGGCTATTGCAAATAAAAATGGTTCAGTAGTAGTCCCAACTGTAGGCAAATAACATCATAGTTTGACTTGCAAAACTGTCTTGATCCAGGTTCAATGTTAAAATGGAAAGAGTACTACCGGTACTAATTTTAAAGATTTGTTGGATGTTAAAGAAATACATAACATGTGGAAAACTAATGAATAAAATTAAAGTGAACAATGGGTGCTGAAACAGAAATTCAAATGAACTGAAAATAAAGACCTTATCAATCTCAACCTCTGACAAATGGGTGATATTGCTATATACATGTATATTTACATGTACCTTATTTTTCAGAGTATAAACTTTGAAGTTTCTATCTTCAATTCAATGTTAAATTTTCTTTAAATTATGAAATAATCTTGATGTAATAAGACAACCCCATATACATTTATTTTTAAAATGTGTAGACAGAACAAACCCTTAAGTACATCTCCTAGGGCACAACTTTTTTTTTTAAATTCAAACTATAAATTAAAGTTAAACAATAGGTACATGTATATATATGTGAAACTTCGATGCTGGTTTGAGATCTGTATTTATTAGAGCAATCTGGTCTTCCCACTCCTCCACACCTTGACAATCCTCACCTTTTTCTTTGATTCTTCTTTCCATTTGTTTTCCTGCTCATCATCCCACCAGCCTTGTTTTACCATGTAACTCCGTAATCGACCAATCGGATTATTTGTATCAAATTTTACAACCTCTCCTTTTTTTCGATACATAGAGCTGTCATCCGAGGTGGAATGATGTCCTATCCTACAAGGAATTCAACATCTCAATGAAGGGGGTCTTTTCTAATTCAATTCTGTACCGAGAGACAAATCAAAAATGCACAAAAGGCTCTAATTTAAGGGAACCCCCTAGCAAGTAAATGATACAACTGTTGCATGAAAACTGTGTATTTGTTTTTTTTCTATTTCACAGGGCTCAATTTTTAGACCAATCATATATTTTTTCCCCCAAACCTATCTATAACCACTTGAATGTCAAAAATTAAAAAAAAATGATTTTCAAAAAAAAAGAAAAGAAATAAAACAAGAGGCCCATGGGCCACATTGCTCACCTGAGTAACTTTGGCCATGCTGTTCATTACCAGACTTCCCCCCTTGTAATACCTATTGTGGCCCCGCCCTACCCCCAGGGGCAATGATTTGAACAATTTAGAATCTACACTACCCCAGGATGCTTCCACATAAGTTTCAGTTTTTCTGGTCCAGTGGTTCTTGAGAAGATTTTTAAAGATTTTTCCTATATATTTCAATGTAAAACTTGGGATTCCCTATTGTGCCCCCCCCCCCCCCATCCCCGGGGTCATGATTTGAACAATTTAGAGTGTACACTACTTGAGGATGCTTCCACATAAGTTTCAGTTTTTCTGGCTCAGTGGTTCTTGAAAAGAAGATTTTTCAAGATTTTTCCTATATATTTCAATGTAAAACTTGTATTCCCTATTGTGGCCCCGCCCTACCCCCGGGGGTCATGATTTGAACAACTTAGAATCTACACTACCCCAGGATGCTTCCACATAAGTTTCAGTTTTTCTGGCCCAGTGGTTCTTGAAAAGAAGATTTTTCAAGATTTTTCCTATATATTTCAATGTAAAACTTGTATTCCCTATTGTGGCCCCGCCCTACCCCCGGGGGTCATGATTTGAACAACTTAGAATCTACACTACCCCAGGATGCTTCCACATAAGTGTCAGCTTTTCTGGCTCAGTGGTTCTTGAGAAGAAGATTTTTGAAGATTTTTCCTATATATTTCAATATAAAACTTGTATTCCCTACTGTGGCCCCGCCCTACCCCCAGGGGTCATGATTTGAACAATTTAGAATCTACACTATCCCAGGATGCTTCCATATAAATTTCAGCTTTTCTGGCTCAGTGGTTCTTGAGAAGAAGATTTTTAAAGATTTTTCCTATATATTTCAATGTAAAACTTGGATTCCCTATTGTGGCCCCGCCCTACCCCCGGGAGTCATGATTTTAACAATTTAGAATCTACACTATCCCAGGATGCTTCCATATAAGTTTCAGCTTTTCTGGCCCAGTGGTTCTTGAGAAGAAGATTTTTTTATGACCCCACCCTATTTTTGGTTTTTCTTGATTATCTCCCCTTGTAAGGGGAGTTGGCCCTTTATTTTAACAATTTAAACTCCCCTTCCCCCAAGGATACTTTGTACTAAGTTTGGTTAAAATTGGCCCAGTGGTTCTTGAGAAGAAGTTGAAAATGTGAAAAGTTTACAGACGGACGGACGGACAGACGGACGGATGACGGACAACGGGTGATCAGAAAAGCTCACTTGAGCTTTCAGCTCAGGTGAGCTAAAAAGGTCAATTATGAATATAAAAATATTTCTGAAGAAAAAAAATATCCTTCCCTTCATCCCTTTCACAACAATTATTGGTTAATAATTATGAAATTCTAGCTTTCTTTCAATGACAAAGCCGAAAATTCCATATGGGCAATAAATTACTATTGAGAAATTGTAATTTTTTATGGACAACAGGTGATCAGATGGACAATGGGTGATCAGAAAAGCTCACCTGAGCTTTCAGCTCAGGTGAGCTAAAAAATTAGAAGTATGAAGGTATGTAACATTTTTGTTGTTGTCAATTGTTGTTACATACTACAACCAGTATTGAGGTCTACAGTGAATACAGCTGATGATTTCATTTAAGTACAGTGCCCACTGTCCAATCCGACAACTGTGCAATCCGGCACACTGGACTTTCCGACCTCATATTTTATTCCCCAAAATTTCTTTATATTTTATATAGAACAAAACACTGTATATTCCGACCACTGTACATTCCGAATTCCGGCGCTTTTTTGTCATCAAAACTAGATAATTACGTTATGATTTCACCTGGGGAATCCGACATAATTACAAGGGTGTTCCGTAATTAGCCGCAGGCCAGGTGACATGATTGCCCGGTTTTGCCACAAGATTGGTCTACTTAGAGAGTAGTTAATTACATGTAAGTTTGAAAGTGTTTATGTAAGCGTTAAATGATCAGTTTTTTAATTAAAAAATTAGGCAATCAATTCTCTTTGTTGTTATCAGTTTTATTCTCGCATTTAAGAAATAGCATCCACGCGACAGAAAATAAAAAGAGTACATGTTATTTTGATTCCATTAAGATTTTTAGCTTGAAATTAAAATCAAACATGCAGTCAGTCCTTCATAAAGTCATGTCCCGAAAAAAAGAGTACGGCGAACGTAACATGTAGACAATACACAAGTTGAATGGTACATCTTGTCTAAAATAAAAAGTTTCATTTCAGGGTTAATATACACTGAATTAAGCAAGGCTGTGCACATAAAGGATTTGCCGGAAGCAAAAATACCACTTTAAGTTGCCCATTAAATTTTAAAATATTACGACTTTTCGATAAAAATCACAATGTTTTAGAGTTACGCCCGGTTTGTATGAAAAGTTGCGTGACGGTATTAATAGCACAGTCTATGTTGAGAAGTAAACAGTATAGAGAAAATTCGGAGAGAAATGTAGTGTAGAAAAAAAAATAATACCACTGTGTAAAGAAGGTACACGTAAACGAAATGTTTACTTAACCATGCATCTACTGCTTTAGTAAAATGCTAAAAATTGAATTGCAACATCTCGAAGCGATCGGCAGTTCCATCTGTTTTGTCCATTAAAAAAAACAAACATCGTATATTACTACAGTTTACTAATGCTCAAAGAAATGCTAATCAACGAAGGTATATTTTATACAACAAAGAAACACACAATTATGCAAACATTTTTACAATTAAATACACGTGTACTCTAAACCTAATGAAAAATGGTTTTTGAAGTCATTTGACACCAATCATAACGCTCAGAAATATTCAACACTGGGTAATCCGACACACTGTCTAATCCGACATTGATTTTATTTCCCGCAGCATGTCGGATAAGACAGGTTTCACTGTATTTAATTTTTGATACTTATGTCACACTTTTATTATACGACCATTAGTAAATTCTTGCCCATATATAAATTTCAAGGAGATTTTTCAAAAGACTTTGAAAGACCTTTATGAAACTGTATAAACCATGTTAAATAATATACAGCAAAGGCTGTTTTTATGATTTTAGAGGCTGGTCAATAAAAAAGAACTTTTTCTTGAATTTGTCAGAGAATTACAGATATCTAAAGTATACCCTTTGAATACCTTTTTTAAAGAAGTTTACAAAGATACTCTTTAAATCTTCCTTAACAAATTACCTGTATGTCATGGCCTCTATAAGGATAGGTCTGTTTTGTGTGACACATATTTCTCTGGCTTCCTTGGTGACATTGTGTACAGCAAACACATCATTACCATCTACTCGTATTGTCATCATCCCATAACCACTACCCCTAGATGCTACCAAATAAAAAAAGAGCTCTAATAATGAATAAAACAAAGGAAAACACTGTGTTAGAGTCACTGAATCTGTCATATCAGCATTGATAAGGATAATATCTGTTTATGCACATATTAATTTCAATAGAAAAATGATGAAATAAACAAGAGGCCTAAATGCTTAGAATTACTCTCTGATAAATTGCACAACAGTGTCATTGTGACCTACTTTTGGATAAACATATCCCGAGGCCTAGAGGAATAACCGACAGAGTTTTATGATGCTAGGCCTATATAGAAGCTTAAATGACCTGACAATGAATAATGATAAAATTTGAAATGTAGGTCAATATGACCTACTTTTGGGTTGACACATTCCTGTGCCCAAAGCTATATCAACTCTGAAGGATTTGTGACCCTATCTGAGATAGGACCCACATTCCAAAAAATTGACACACACCACACAAATGGCCATAACATTAGCTCTTTGAGCCTTTCGCTCAGAAGAGCTAAAAAAATTTATGTTCTCACAGTAGAATAATTGTAAATTGGCATACAAACAAGAAAAACACATAAATTCAAACACACATTGTATATTATCTATGATATTTATATGACTTTTTCTGGATTGCCTATAACAACTAAGAAAACTTGGAGGTATAAACGAGCAGGTATGTTCCTAGTAAAATTTTATAATCAAAATTCCTACTACTTTAAAGGCAGGAACTCGCACATAAAATCACCTATTTGGAGAGACCAAAAAGTACCCACCTATGCCATCTCCCCTGTACTGGTCCGAGGTAGGGGTTGATATAGCATATCCATTGTTTCTGCTAAAATCACAAAAAAAAACAATGCAATCCCAGGCAGGGGACAGCTCAGATTTACTGATAACTAGGAGATTATTCATTTTTCAAGCAAGCAATTTATCAATAACATTTTTTTCTGAAAAAGCATTAACAAAACTGCATCAAAACCATCTGGTATTAGGTAAATTCAAGTACAAGAAAATGATTCGATTTTTTTTTTCTTATTATTTGGTTTCAATTTTATACCTTTTAAAAATCTTTAAATGTTCTTTCAAAACATTTATATTTTTGAGAAAAACTGATGTCAAACTTTTCAAAGAATGATTTACACATGTCTTGTAAAACATGTATTACAGAAGAAGAAAAATTTAAAAGAGTACATACCAGAAGAATATAACTGGACAGTTAAGAGTGGCCGCAAAGTTAAAGGCCGCGTGGGCATCACCCTCTGAGGCAGCTCCCTCCCCAAAGTAACAGACGACACACTTACCATTCTGGGCTCGCTTATAGGCATAGGCTGCACCAGATGCTGTGGAAATATACATGTACATAATTAAATACAGATTTCATTAAAATCTGGTCCTCATACACAAAATATAGTATTTTATATATAGCATGTATGAAGTATCTTACACAAAATTGGTTAATTCATACATAAAAATTATGTACAAACAGAACAGTAACAACTTGGATATTAGGAACAAAGTTGATTGTAATGAAAATTTGTTTACTGTACTTAGAATGAGCAGTACATTATATGTAATTTTGTTTTTATTAAATATTCTGGCTATACATTTTGTACTGTACCTTGAGGCATCTGAGTGGCCAGGGTAGAAGAGATGGTAACAAAATGGAGGTCTCGAGATCCGTAATGGACCGGCATCTGTCGTCCCTTACCGGCATCATCCGTGTTACCATAGCACTGATTAATAAACTGGTCTAAAGTAAATCCCCTCCACATCAGGACCCCTACAACAGAGGTATTCATAGTTACAGTCATAGTTGTGACATGCATTTAGTTTATAAAATACAAGACATCACATTTAATATTACCTTACCAGCTCTCTAACTTTAAAATTCACACATTTTATACTTCTAAGATAATTTTACATATATCCCCCATACTATCTGATCCCCTGTATCTGATTCACTTGACCCTGTGCCCTGTTTACCTGCTTCTCTGTACTGTCCAAACACCAGATCCTCTGGATGTAGAGCTGATGCTGAACCTATGTGAGTGGCCTCCTCCCCAAAGTTTGTCATATAAAAAGAGATTCTCCCCTGTCTCTGGGACTCGTATAAGATTTTATCCATGGAGTTCAGCAGAGTCATATCATGGTACATCTTCAGAACAGTCTGTTTGTCAATCTGTCAAAATAATTGATTCAAATTTTAACAGTATACAATAGAAACCAATATGGTCAATGAATCTATATTTAGAGCAAAGTACGTATATACGTGTATATGCATTTTGCATTGCATTTTCATTTTGACCATGAGCTTAAAAAATTGCCAAGTTTTGAATATCAAATGAAAAAAAAAATCTGTAAGTGCATGCAGGTCTGGAGCAATATTTATTTCTGGATCATTACTTTTTTTTGTATTTTTTTTTAACCCTTTTAATACTTTTTTTTGATGGACCATTTTTGCATTCCTCATTTTTAGATCCTCTCTGGAATCATTTCTGGCTACCTTACCTTTAAATTTTCAGCCTCTGGGGTCAATTCTGGATTGATCCTCATCTTGTGTGATTTTTAACAGATTCTTACCTTTGGATCCTCACCTTCTCTGTTAACTTACACCTTGTGTAATTCTTTACAGCTTCTTACCTTTGGATCCCCACCTTGTGTGATTATTTACAGCTTACTTTTGGATCCCCATCTTGTGTGATTATTTACGGCTTACTTTTGGATCCCCACCTTGTGTGATTATTTACAGCTTCTTACCTTTGGATCCCCACCTTGTGTGATTATTTACGGCTTCTTACTTTTGGATCCCCACCTTGTGTGATTATTTAGAGCTTCTTACCTTTGGATCCTCACCTTGTGTGATTATTTATGGCTTCTTACCTTTGGATCCTCACCTTGTGTGATTATTTATGGCTTCTTACCTTTGGATCCCCACCTTGTGTGATTATTTACAGCTTACTTTTGGATCCCCACCTTGTATGATTATTTACAGCTTCTTACCTTTGGATACTCACCTTGTGTGATTATTTATGGCTTCTTACCTTTGGATCCTCACCTTGTGTGATTATTTACAGCTTACTTTTGGATCCCCACCTTGTATGATTATTTACAGCTTCTTACCTTTGGATACTCACCTTGTGTGATTATTTATGGCTTCTTACCTTTGGATCCTCACCTTGTGTGATTATTTACAGCTTCTTACCTTTGGATCCCCACCTTTTGTGATTATTATCAGCTTCTTACTTTTCATTCATTTATTCTCTCAAAAACCATATGAATGGTACAAGAGGTACATATATACATATTTACAATAATTATGGACGAGCAGAGATTACAGGAGGACAGACAGTGTCAAAAATTTTGATGATAAATATACACAATTTTCTTAAGAATGCTGGGTCAGTAGGCTATTTGTCATCAAATTACAGAATTTTATAATATTTGGATATACATAGTATTTCTTTAACAGAAAATCTTTCCGAATATTACAAAATACATTACATTCCAGTAGGTAATATAATTCGTCTCCAATTTGATTATTATTACATAAATAGCACACGTACTCTTTCATTTCTTTAAACATTATTCCATCTACCCACCTCTATGGGAAGATGATGATTACTTGTTCTGAATTTTGAAAAGATATTTCTAAATTTTCTTGGTAAAATAGTTAAGTATTTTTCACATTCAAACTTTGTTTTAAAATTTGTATATGTAATACCTTTACTGGAATTATTCATATCACTATACCATTTTTGTAAAAATTGGTCTTTGAGCTTTTGGTTTATTGCAGTCGCAATCCATTTAACACTATGAAAATTTTGATCATTCCAAACATTACATAGTCCTGCAGTGTTAAGAATATTCTGTATGCAAGATATCCATGAATTATTGATCCCATTTTTGGTATATTTATTATAAAGATGTAAATAAATAATTCTACAAATCTTATTCTCATTTCCATGTAACAGTTTTCCCCAGAAAGATATCATTCTTGTATAAATGCATACGTACATCGGGTAACGTCCAGTCTCCCCGTATACCATAAAACTCGGTGTACTAGATTTTAGGTTTAAAATATATTTCAATAAAATCAATATTTTCAAATCCCCATATTTCGCACCCATATAACAAAACAGGAACAACAACTTTATCAAACAGATCTAGCTGACAATCAAAAGGTAGATTATATAAAATTTTTCTTATAATGCCATACATTGCCTTTTGTGCTTGATTACATAAGTGTTTCTTAGCCTTTGAAAATGACCCTGATCTTGAGAATAAATTACCTAAGTAATTGAAATCTTTTACAGTTTCTAAAACATTGTTGTTGTATCTAAATGTATGTTTGGGTGATGGTCCTTTTGAAAAAATGACAATTTTTGTTTTATTAACATTAACATGGAGTTTCCATGTTTTACAATATACAGAAAATTTGTTTAATGCATGTTGTAAATCATTTGCAGGTTCAGACAAAATAACAGTATCATCTGCATAAAATAATATAAACAGTTTGGTAAAAACGGTAAGATCATCTTCAATCTCTTTAGACAAATTCTCTAAGCCATTAACATTCCTTTCTGTAAGACAATTTTCTAAGTCATTGATATACAGAGAAAATAAACAAGATGTGTTTGTAAAACACTGATGCCCCCATATGGCAGCTTATGGCAAAGGTTATAGTTTCTCAAATGCAAGTCAAAATCCAGGCCAAAAGATAAAAAATGTTAAATTTGAAAGCCCTACATGTAGCTGCAACTGTTCAAAAGTTATGGCGAAGGTTAAAGTTTTTTTAAAAGTAAGTAAAACTTCAAGGTCAAGGTCAAAGTTGTTGGTATCCAAAGGAAGGTCTTGTCACAAGGATTACATATGTAAAGTATGAAAGCCCTAGCACCAACCATTCAAAAGTTATGGCCAAGGTTAAAGTTTTTCAAAAGTAGGTCAAACTCCTATGTCAAGGTCAAAGGGTCAAAGTGGTTGGTATCCAAAGGAAGGTCTTGTCAAAAGGATTACATATGTGAAGTATGAAAGCCCTAGCACCAACCATTCAAAAATTATGGCCAAGGTTAAACTTTTTCAAAAGTAGGTCAAACTCCTATGTCAAGGTAAAAGGGTCAAAGTGGTTGGTATTCAAAGGAAGGTGATGTCACAAGGATTACATATGTGAAGTATGAAAGCCCTAGCATCAACCATTCAAAAGTTATGGCCAAGGTTAAAGTTTTTCAAAAGTAGGTCAAACTCCTAGGTCAAGGTCAAAAGGTCAAAGTGGTTGGTATCCAAAGGAAGGTCTTGTCACAAGGATTACATGTGTGAAGTATGAAAGCCCTAGCTCGAACTGTTCAAAAGTTATGGCCAAGGTTAAAGTTTTTTCAAAAGTAGGTCAAACTCCTAGGTCAAGGTCAAAGGGTCAAATAGGTTGATATCCAGAGGAAGGTCTTGTCACAAGGAATACACATGTGAAGTTTGAAACCCCAAGCACCAACTGTTCAAAAGTTATGGCCAAGGTTAAAGTTTTTCAAAAGTAGGTCAAACTCCAAGGTCAAGGTCAAAAGGTCAAAGTTGTTGGTACCCAAAGAAAGGTCTTGTCACAAGGAATACACATGTGAAATATGAATCAAAGCAATAGCTCCAACCAATCAAAAGTTATGGGCAAGGTTAAAGTTGACAACAGACAGACAGACAAACAGACAAACAGATAAACAGACAAACAGGACAAAAACTATATACCCCCAGGATCTTTTGATCCGGGGGCATAAAAAGGTGATAGATTTTCGCCTTGTCTGACCCCGACATTGCAGGTGAAATATGTATTCAGAAAACACACCATCCACATTTATTCTTGATTTTATGCCTGCATACATATTTCTAATATAAGTGAAACACTTCCCACTAACACCATTTGAAAATAATTTATACCAAAGACCACCTCTCCAAACAGTATCAAAAGCCTGTTTAAAGTCGATGAACGCACAATATAACTTTTTTTTTTTGCTTTTTATAAGTGCTTGTGACAGAAAATGCAAAATCAGTATATTATCTAAAGTAGAGTACACTTTTCTGAAACCTGCTTGACTTTCGTTAATCAGACTGATATTTTCTGCATACATTTCTAATTGCTTTTTCAAAATACCTTTGGATCCCCACCTTGTGTGATTATTTACAGCTTCTTATCTTTGGATCCCCACCTTGTATGATTATTTACAGCTTCTTACCTTTGGATCCACACCTTGTGTGATTATTTATGGCTTCTTACCTTTGGATCCTCACCTTGTGTGATTATTTATGGCATCTTACCTTTGGATCCCCACCTTGTGTGATTATTTACAGCATACTTTTGGATCCCTACCTTGTGTGATTATTTACAGCTTCTTACCTTTGGATCCCCACCTTGTGTGATTATTTACAGCTTCTTACCTTTGGATCCTCACTTTCTGGAATCATTTCTCCTTGACTGTTCATTACTCTATATACAGGAATACCTTCCTCTTTATCTGGGTCCAAAAATGACAATTTGTAGGTGAATTTTGATTTTGACCCTGGGAACTGAGGACGGTCCTCCTAAAAGAAAAAAGTACATAGTGTAAAAAGGTAAGATAAGTTTTAGATAACTTCAATTTTAAACCTTTCTTTTAATTTACAAGTTAAGCTAGAAGTTCCTAACAGGATTTACAAAATACCGGCCACTCTACTGTTAAACTGTAGGGTGGGTTCAATTGAAATTGTTATGGCCAATAAAAACTAGAGTGTTCCAAGGAGTGCACGTGTTGCATGCTTTGTAGCTTCATTAAAAGTGTAAATAAATCCAAGAGTTGTAAGCTTTTTATTTACTATAAGCATGATAGACTGATAGTTCATGCATTTGCCTGCAAAGAAAAAATGGCATCCATGGATAGTACGACTGCGATAGATCTGACAATCAAAGAAAATATGGTTCCATGACCAAAGGCGGATCCAGGTGTGTGCCCCCCCCCCCCCCATTATGATATTCCTGGATCTGCCACTGCAGTGCTCTACCTATTGAGCTAAAAGGCTACTAGTGGTTAACCTTTTAGCTCAATAGGTAGAGCACTGCAGTGGCAGATCCAGGAATATCATAATGGGGGGGGGGGGGCACACACCTGGATCCGCCTTTGGTCATGGAACCATATTTTCTTTGATTGTCAGATCTATCGCAGTCGTACTATCCATGGATGCCATTATTAAGCTAGTAGGAAGCTGTGAATCTGACACTACCTCAAAATGTATGTTAGGAACACATGGGTAGTACACTAAAACTCACTTATAAGGAACTCGATCGGATATAAGGAAATCTTGGCTATAAGACGTTATGTCTTTTTCTCATTTCACAACACTTGCTTAATATAGATTTAAAGAAATTCAGTTAAAAGGAACTAAAGCTTCATGTCACCAGAATTTCCTTATAAGCAAGTTTCACTGTAATTGACATTTCGAGATGACAGCTTACATATTCAGAGATATAAATTTCCAACCGAGTGCACTTAACAACAATTATACAAATTTTACAATAGTTGGATTCATAACTTCCTGATCATCTAACCCATAATTATCATTTATTTATTTATTTGTTTTGGAAAAGAGAGTTTCAGACCTGCAGCTAGCCAAAAAATCAGCTGCATGGCTGCAGCTATATAGCTATGACTTGAGAAATTGGTTGGGGTGGGTGAGGATGAACTTTCTAACAGTGCTAGGTCTTTTTATAATTAAAAACATCGTGTATGGCACTCAATTATTAAACTCACACCGTCAAATGTGAACAATTGCAAGGTCCTTTGATTTTTAATTTTAGCATGGCCTACAAGTGTTTTGCAAGAATTTTCAGCAATTTAAAGTCAAACACATTGCTCTAAATTCACTTACGCATCTCAGGGATGAACTCGTGCAAATCAGACGACATGACAAAGTTTTATTGGTAAGATACCGCAACGACCGTAATACAATCCCGAATTTTGCTGCCATCGCGCTAGCTGACCTTGACAGCTATTGCGTATAACGTCACAAATTTAGTGTTCGGCATATTAACAACGGGAACTGTGACGTTTCACTCTTATACTGAATTGCTTCCGCTTTGCTTACGCTCCTCTTTATTGATGTTTTGACACTTCATACATACTTAGTACCCTCATTACAAAATTGTGTCGTCGCAAGAGAGTGAACTGATTTTTAGATCTACATGTTCTATATTTTTTCTTTCGCCATGATTTGATCTACACGCTTCTCTTCTTCGTTGTTATTTAGAAATCCAGCCTCCGCATCATTGACACAGATGACTCACACCTGCACTTGGAAGAGACAATTATGTTGTGATTATATCATAAATTTGACGAAATAAAGATATAATTACAACAGTTAGATTGAAAGATGGCACAGGAGGAGGTGGTTCTGAATGTGTATGATATGGTAAGATTCTTTCACATTTAAAACATGTTGATGAATGTCAGACTGATGTAATATAATGGAAAAGGGGTTCCAAACATAACATTTTTTTCTTGTTTACAAACGGTACACAGGTCTTAAATTGATGTATATTATCTCATATATGGTTAAGTACAATGTTCTTTTCTTCCATCATTTTTTGTAACAAATAATGAGTTATCTTTGTCCAAACTGAGACTTTGTTACAAGAAATTAACAATATTTTATTAAAAATACAATTACAGTTAATGTATAACATAGGTTATATTTAATTTCTGATGTACTTCATCCATTAATTAATGTGTGTTTGTTGGAAAAAAACAAAATCCATCTTGTCTCCTACTTGAAAAAAATGTATGCAGCAGTGTAATGTTTGCATTTTAAAAAGATTTTGAGATAGGAACTAAAAAAAAACCAATCTGTGAATTTTGAACATACCCAAAAGGAGTTAAGATTGGTTAGGTCACTGAAATTAAAAAAAAAAACAGTTTTGCATGATCAACGAGTATATTTAGAAATATGTTGTGTGTTCATAATTTGAAAAAGAAAGTCTTAAGTTATGAAGTAGGCCTTTCAAAATGTGCTCGTACCTGGTACTTTTACCCAGCTGAAATCATGATTGTAAAGGCCAAAATATTTGATGGAGAAAAATTTGTTAACATATCTAATTTAACTGATTCCACAAGGTACGTACCTCCTATTTTTGTAAAAGTACCACCTTTTTCTAATCCTTTTGAAAGCCCTGAATTGAAGAATGTCTGCAAATATTTTAATGGTATAATCAAATAGTTGAAGATGAAAATTTTATGAAGGAAACACTGTGATTATTTTTTTCCAGTTTTAGATCTTTCTCTGTTAGCAAAAGATCATTAATTCTCTCTTATGCTTGTTTTAAAGTAGGAGCCAGCAGAAGGAGCAAAGAATTTATGGGAGGAAATTCTTCTATTGTACATCATCATAATATAAATTCATGACTATTTTATGCCTACCCTTTCGAAGGAGAAACATATTGCTTTTGTCAGTTTTTTAATACATGAAATTTAGGCATCTAAAAGGGCTACATTTAGGCATCTAAAAGGGCTATCTTGATGTACAAAAGGCATTAACATACAGTCAAAGTTTATTAACTTAATTGAAATTTAATTGAGCCAACAGGGATGTTCCACTGCCCATTGCAGGGCCAAATATGGGCCCCATTCCCAATTAGAAAACATCTTCTTTTTTCCCCAAAATGAACTGTTTTGCTCAATTTTTGAATGCACAAAAGCTCCACAAAGTTAACTTGATCAAGATTCATAAAAAACAAACATGGTAATTAAGGCTTGGAAATCTGAATGAAATGAACAAAATGTTTGGAAACTTGGATAAAACTTTATTTTAATTGATCTATTCTCTGAATTATAGTTCTAAATAATTAAGTAAAAGATCAAATTTTTCTCATCATAAGTGTTTATTTCTTGAAAAACATATTGAGTTTAAAATAGTTCAATACATAAAGAAAAAGTGGTTTGGACTTCTGACTTAGACATATATCTATGGTACAACTTTGAGATATCGATGTTTGAGATGAAGTTCAACTGTATCTACATTTGATTACGAGTTCAGACTTTTTACAATTCTCAAGTCCTTGACATTTCTTTTAAAACTTTACATTTTTTAAGTGAGAAGTCAAGGTCAAAATTATGGTTGGGTGCATCCTTTCTTTATCTCATCTTTCCCTGAAGTCCTGATGTCAAAAGGTTCTCAATGGTCAGGCCCCAAGACCATAAACTGAGAACAGAAAATCAAAATTTCAAGTCGATATAACTTTCAAAATAATTTTGATTATAAAATAAAATTTTCATCATATGTTTCAATTGAAGGGTTATGCACAATTGCAAATTTTTAAGCTTATACATTAAATGAAACTTCAGATATTAAAAATCAAAATTTTGACTTAAGTCTGTTCTCAGTTTATGCTCTTGGGGCCTGAAAATATTTCAGTGAAGAAGAAAATTTCCTCAGATATTGTACAGTATGTCTTATCAGGGGCATATGGGAACATGTTCTCATAAAGGACTTTGTGTTATTATCAAGCTGATTGTCTCTTGATGCAGTAACATAAGTAATCAATGAATTGATCTTTAGAACACAGTGAGTGTATTGTATGTGTAATGGGTATCTTACATTAACTAGTTTATTGTGTACATAGTGTGTATTTTAGATGGACACTCTCTTCTGTCATTTCTTCTTTCCAATCTCAATATGTGAGACTCCATGGCATACATGTATGCAGATGATGTTGATGATGAAATTGAGATCTAACACTTCTGTTAACTATAAAATGGAGGATATATATGTACTGAGTTTCACTACATTCATATAAAATATTCTATCAAGGGTCAACAAATTTTGTATGTTGACTACTGATACTAATTATTATAATCTTTTCAAATATGTTTTTCTTAGGGGAAACATCAAGCTTTATAATTAACATTACACTGAAGTCAAATTTCATCCTTTCGACAGGGCCTTCAAACTGATTTGAATGCATGCTATGATGCCTTAAATGACGTGAGCGTAGATAAGGCTGCCAGTTTTCAGATGTCCAATTTTCTGGCTCTCCCAGGAGAAACTGACTTCTGTAAACAGCTTCATGTACAATTATATGGCTTATAAATTCAATCAGTAAAAAAAGTGATGTCTCTTTGCAATATTGTTGATAGTTCCTTTCATGAAATGGAAAAACTATGTGCAAGTTAATTTCCTCCTATTTCCACATTCACATCATTTCCATGGGAGTAAAAAAAAAACCCCTGACGTCAAGCTCTTATAGTTATGTATCAATAAGGAAGCATTAAGAATCACAGGCATTGTACACATTTTAAGAGCTAGTAGATTAACTTTTCTTGTACTTGTCCTGGGTACATAAATTGCTGAATTGAAATCAAAGAAACAGAAAATACTCAGCCCTAGACTATTGGTTTGATTTTTGTAATGGTTTGAGAGAAGAAGTGCACGTCTTGGAATAGTTAAATTTCTTCTTTGTACATTTTTCGACAAAATGTACTTAAAACTTCATGCTTTAAACTATACAAAAAAGGCGGCATGTTGAAGAAATCCTACTCTGTGTAATAGGTCTTTCAGAGCCCTTCCCCCACTAATATATTCATTTACCGAAAAGTACATTTTGACACTAATTGCAAACTGAAACTGATCTTTTCAAATAATGATGCCTCTTTGTCAGCAGTCTGTCTGTCTGTTAAGAAATACATGTATTGTTATAATTGTTCCACCTATAATTTTGTCCACAGATGTTCTCGCAGAGAGGAAGAAGCTAGAAGATCTTAATGAAATTTTAAAAATATCATTATCACCAAGTCTGTAGTTGTACATTTAACATTTAAAATTCTTTAACATGGCAACCATTTCCACCTTAACAGACCATGAATATTTTAGTTTCAATCTCATTTTTTCAATAACTACCCAGCCAAATTCTTTTTTTTTTTTAATAGGAAACTAGAGTTTTTGCAATTTGAAGTGGGGCAAAAATTTTGCCCTTCATGGGGCACTGGAAAATCTCTGCAGTGACTATAAATCTCAACACGTCAGTATTTTGACTTTGCATGCTTTTCTGTACAGCAAAATGCAATAGCGACAAGTTAAAGTATACTATACCTAATGTATGCTTACCTCTATCTAGTAGATTCATGTCCATGAAATCAACTTGTAATTTCATTTACCTGTATATAAAAGTAAAAACTACCATGCGACAAAGATTAAAGATTGGGAGCATTTTGATTTTGTTTTTTGGATTTTCTGTTTGTCCATCTCTTTGTTAATCTAACTTATGATCAAAGGTTTGTTTGCCACCCTGACCCAAGACTTAAGGGAGCCAACTGGGGTTTTATTGTGTGAAAACTACTATAGAGAAATCTTTAAATTTATACAATATGTACCTTTCATTGACTTCAGTGTACATGCCAAGTTTAGTGAAAATCTACCCTTTGGTTATTTTTTTATGGACCATCTCAAAATACAGGTACATTACTATAGGATTATATAGGAAAATATTATTACCCTTCGGAGCAAATTATACAAATGCTACTATAGACTTTTTGCTCAAATTACATTATTTGATGAGTAATACTAAATTGTACAATTTATGCAAGAAACAAAAAATTCTACCACCTGGTTTCCAGAGGGGGCATCTCAAAATGTCAAAATTCATGATAGTTTCCTGTTTTTATGGAGTACTACAAAACATGACAGATACCACAGATTTATATAAAAAATAACAAAAATGATTGTGAGATTCTCAATTTTCCTATGTTTAAAATTTCAAGAGCATCTATTTTATACTTTTTATTTTATGACATAATTCATGTCTCCTCTTTAAGAACTTTGGTTATTCATAACGTCAAAAACATACTATTACGATGTTTATCTACTCATCATCTGAAAAATCATTTAAAAAATCAGTTATTTAAAAACGTAATTGTATTTTTTAACCTGAGATTTCCTAATTTTGTTAATTTTTAGCTCTACTGGTCAGAGACCAGAAGAGCTTATGCGATAGTAAGGTGTCCGTCGTCCGTCCGTCTGTCTGTCTGTCCGTCGGTCTGTAAACAATTTTTCAAAATGCTACTCCTCCTACAGTTTTGGTCTGATTTCAATATAACTTGGCACACAAGTAGACTATAATAAGATACATAATTCTGTTTATCGGTTTTTGATTTCAATGAATGGTGTTGCCATGGTTACTAAAAATAGAAATTTCTGTGAAATACTTTCAAAATGCTACTCCTCCTACAATTTTGATCTGATTTCAATATAACTTGGCACAGAAGCAAACTATACTAAGATGCATAATTCTGTGTATCGGTTTTTGATTTCGATGAACGGTGTTGCCATGTTTACTAAAAATAGAAATTTCTGTGAAATACTTTCAAAATGCTACTCCTCCTACAGTTTTGATCTGATTTCAATATAACTTGGCACACAAGTAGACTATACTAAGATACATAATTCTTTATATTGATTTTCTGATTTCGATGAACATTGTTGCCATGGTTACTAAAAATAGAAATTTCTGTGAAATACTTTCAAAATGCTACTCCTCCTACAGTTTAGATCTGATTTCAATATAACTTGGCACACAAGTAGACTATAATAAGATGCATAATTCTGTGTATCGGTTTTTGATTTCGATGAACATTGTTGCCATGGTTACTAAAAATAGAAATTTCTGTGAAATACTTTCAAAATGCTACTCCTCCTACAGTTTAGATCTGATTTCAATATAACTTGGCACACAAGTAGACTATAATAAGATGCATAATTCTGTGTATCGGTTTTTGATTTCGATGAACATTGTTGCCATGGTTACTAAAAATAGAAATTTCTGTGAAATACTTTCAAAATGCTACTCCTCCTACAGTTTTTATCTGATTTCAATATAACTTGGCACACAAGTAGACTATAATAAGATGCATAATTCTGTTTATCAGTTTTTGATTTCAATGAACGTAGTTGCCATGTTTACTAAAAATAGAAATTTCTGTGAAAAACATTCAAAATGCTACTCCTCCTACAGTTTTTATCTGATTTCAATATAATTGGCACACAAGTAGACTATACTAAAATGCATAATTCTGTGTATGGGTTTTTGATTTCGATGAACAGTGTTGCCATGGTTACTAAAAATAGAAATTTCTGTGAAATACTTTCAAAATGCTACTCCTCCTACAGTTTTGATCTGATTTCAATATAACTTGGCACACAAGTAGACTATACTAAGATACATAATTCTTTATATTGATTTTCTGATTTCGATGAACATTGTTGCCATGGTTACTAAAAATAGAAATTTCCTTGAAATACCTTCAAAATGCTACCCCTACAGTTTTGGTCTGATTTTAGTATTACTTAGCACACAAGTAGACTATACTAAGATACATAATTCTTTATATTGATTTTCTGATTTCGATGAACATTGTTGCCATGGTTACTAAAAATAAAAATTTCCTTGAAATACCTTCAAAATGCTACCCCTACATTTTTGTTCTGATTTTAGTATTACTTAGCACACAAGTAAACTACACTAAGATACATAATTCTCTATACCAGTTTCGGATTTCGATGAAAAGTGTTGCCATGGTTACTAAAAATAGGAATTTTCTTGAAATACTTTCAAAATGCTACTCCTCCTACACTTTTTGTCTGATTTCAGTATAATGTGGCATACAAGTAGACTACAGAGATACATAATTGGTGTTATTGTTTTTTGATTTTGTTGAATGATGTTGCCATGGTTACTTAAATCAAAATTTCTGTAAAATTGTTTTAAAAGGCTACTCCTCCTATAATTTTCGTCTGATTGCAATAAATCTTGCCACAAAAAGAGACTAAACCAAGGATCATTATTCTATTTATTGCTGTTGCATCAAGTCCAAGTGCTACTTTTATCTTCCTTTATAAATACAACCAGTAGAGCTACAGTCTCGTCAGAGACTTCTGGTTATAAATTAATATGTAAAAATAGGGACCTGGGACCACTGCATCACTAGTCAGGTGCTGTACCAACTGAGCTAGTACCCAGGCCGATATCCATGGCCCAAACCATTACATTCCTCCCTCCTTAAATTGTCTTCGCCCTCGAAGACACAACCCATTTGAATTCTTATTAGCCCATGGCAGGACTTTCACCTGCAAGTCCAGGGGTGGTCAAAGGCACCAAATCTGTAACAGGAAAGGAGAAAATGTATGGCTGAACTAGGAATCGAACCCGGGACCCCTGCATCACTAGTCAGGTGCTCTACCGACTGAGCTACCAAGGCCGATATCCACTGTTTAAACCATTACACAACCATAACATGCTCAGAGACAATGGTTTCTTTCAAATACGTCTTTTTTTATTTTTCCATCTAATTTTATAATTTTTCTTCCATAGTACTGGATCAATGAGTATACATCAAACCTAGGATTTGGAGTGTTTCACTCAGGGGTACAGGTTTATGGAATAGGTAAGTACAAGTGGGTATCATCTACTGCTAGGTGCCGCATTTAATTTAAACATTACTGTTCAGGCCCCAGGATCATCCACATGAAGGAGTTTTAGACTTAATGAAGTCAGAATTTGTATATTTGTGTAAAAGTTTTATTATTGAAACACTTAAAATTTGACATCTTTTTAAAAATTCTGTCACTTTTATGTAGTTAGGCCAAAGTTTTTTTTTCACTTGGTTTACGATTCCGCCGACCCTAATTTTCACCAATCATGAAAATAAAAATAATGTCTTTTTCCGACATATTTTTCCGGATTTTTCTCAGCTGAGCTGGTGGGTTTTAAATTTTAGAATGCATCTTAGTCAAATAAGCGTTTATAAATTATATAGAACTTTACAAACATTTAGGTGACCATAAATAAACACATGTGCAAACCAAAAATGGCGGTTCTGTCATGTAACAAGGTAATTCCTCACTGAAAGCAATGACACACACTTAAAGAACTTTTTCTGCATGGAAAAGTGAATAAAATCTTGGATGCATGATCCCTTTCTCCAATTGCAATGTCTCAATTGGCTAAATTGATACAGTATTGAGTAATATTGAGAAGTGTATGCCCAACCCTGATCGACCTAACAGACATACACCTATAGATAACAGGGATTTATCAGTGCCTTCTCAGGGGCCGAAATTCGGCCCCATTCCCAATTGAAAATGAGTTCAGTTTTTCCCAATTTGGCAGTATTTTTCCCAGTTGGTGAACACCGAACAATGCTTTTATTTTTAATTATCTTGGAAAAAAACAAAGTAAAATTGTCAGATTGTCTTTAATTTTCATCTATTTAACTCATTTATTAAAGCTACAGTCATAACACATGTTTAAAAACACTGTAAAAACATCGCCAACTTTTAATCCGAATTTCCTCCGTTTTTCTAAAAATGATGATATTGTGTAATTATATAGATTTATTAAGTTATTTCCACCTACTCAATTGATCTGCGAGTGAATGGTAAGGACTTTAGGCATTATTTCAGATAGAAAAATATATTTTCAATGCATTAATACATATTAAAAGAGGACTTTTAGAAAATGTGTACTTAGTATACTTTTTGCAGGAGGTTTATAATCTCCAGAAACAGATTCACTATAATGACCTAAATTGAAATCTCATACACATATGTACATGTACTACCATAAGTTTTATAAATACTTTATACTCATTGAAGTCCATTTTACTTTTATTAGTGTATTATTCATAATTGATCTTGTATGATGAAGATGGATCATATTTAATTGTCGTTTGGTTGCCCAAATTAGAGTTCATGCTGAAATGTTAAATGAATTACCCCTGAATACATGATTTAGCAACATTTTAAATTTTTTTTCCAATTTCATCAAATAGACAATAATTTGTTTACCCATTCCCCAAAAATGCATTTCCCAAAATAGGGAGATAAATCCATGCATGATCAAATTATTATAACCTTTATTTCAACGTCAATTACTTATAATATTGTTAAACAATTAAATTGTATTTTTCTTCAATCTAAATTAAACTTAAATTTGGACCCATATTTTTAGTTTGTGGGGGTACTGAGGTTTATAACACATCACATATCACTGAAGAGCATATAAAGAAGTTGAACATCATGAACCAAGTACTGATTGACATACAAAAATCAGAACTAAATGAAAATGACATTCAGTCTAAAGTTAGAAATGAATTAAAATTAAATAAAAAGAGTTATGTGATCTAGACAATAAAACTTAAAAGTACTACGTGTATTGATGTGTATTATTTTTATTAAAATAAAAATTGCTGGTATTTTAAAATGAAATTGTTGAATCCTAAATTATTTTTATTTTTATCTTTCGACCACCCAATGCATTTTTTTGAGACAGAAAATCGTAAACCAAAAAAAATAAAAACTTTGGCCTTAATTTAAATTGAAAGATTATAAAAATTAAAAAAAAAAACCCTCATTTTATGACTTCAATCTATTTTTAGACTGCGTCATGATCCTTTTTAGTTCTTTGTCTCTAAATCTCTGAATCAGCTTTTCACAGAATGATCATCATTTATTTTAATAAATATTGAGTATTAGGAGAAATGACAATCCTTGATAAATGTGAACAGGATCTGTGAAGCAATGTGATCTATTATTTGACAGAGTATGCTTATGGTGGTCATCCATTCCCAGTGACTGGAGTGTTCGAGATAATGCCAAAAGATGCAGAGGACTTGGGGGAGCAATTCAAATTCAAGTATTCTTATGTTTCATTATATGATCAAAAATATCAATTGAAAAAGTGTAATTGACATTTTTTGAAACAATTTATCTGAGGTCAAAATTTTTTGATATTGGAGTCACATTGAAAATTCACATTTGCAAAGAGGAAGGGAAAAATGAATAATTCCTATACTAGAGCAAGGAAGTGTGAAATTTCAAAGACAAAATTTTCAATTCTTTGACATATAATTTGTTCATTAACAGAGAGTCAATAAGAATCGGAACAACAGACTTCACCCCAGATGATGTGAGGAAAATTGTGGATCAGCTGGGAAAAGATTTCAAGGGGGATCAGTACCACCTTCTAAACAAGAACTGTAATCACTTCACCGCATCACTAACACAGGTAATGACAAACAGTGATAAAAGTTCCAGCTACATATAAGTGTAACCACTCCACAGCTGTGCATCACTACCACAGACATTGACAGAGACAGGAGGCACATGGGACACAATGTTCACCCAAGTCATCTTGACCCTGCAGTTCTACAAAAATTTTAACAGATTTTTTTCCCCTCTTAATTCATATGAAAAAAAATTATGTCCACATTTTGTTCACACGCTAGCATATCAAAATAATCTTGAATCTACACAGGAGAGCAAGTCAGGTAGTGTGCATACCTAGATTCATTATCCATGCAAGTTTGGTTCAGGTAGGGCTTATAGCTAAGGCTTATACTTACCTCAGAGAAGCATGACCATACATCTAAATACTAAATAAAAGGTTGGGTTGAACTACCCTTACTGGTCTGCCATTGTATAATAACAGAAATCAAATAGATCTCAAGAAGTTTTGAGAATGTCATCTTCCCAAGACGGCTGTGTCCAAACTGAAGCATGGAATAAACAATATTTTAAATGTCCTTTGATTTGAGGCATAAAATGGATTGACATGTACCAGGAGAAAAATGGAAGTTCATCACAGGTATATACAGTTTGCTTGCATGGTTGATTAGGCAAAATTATGTAGTTGTAGACTTTAATGTGACACTAATAGTGTGCATACCTAGTTGCATCATTCATGCAAGTTTGGTCAAGGTAGGGCTTATAGTTACTTGGCAATGGACTTGCTCCTAAATCTTTAACTGGGACAGCAATGCTGATGCTGAGGACATACCATTTGTCAAGGTGAGCTAAAAGTGAGTTAAATTGTTGAAAGGTTACTCTGCCCGGTCAACTTAAGGGGGTCTGACTTAAGGTGCATTAATGAAATAAGAGGCCAATAGGCCATAACCAAAGTCCATGGTCTGTTTCATCAGATTTAAAAGAGGTATTACATTACATCTGCAAAAGAAAATCCACTCTTATGCCCCTGTAATTGAAGATATGTGGGTATAAAGTTTTTGATCTGTCTGTCTGTTTGTCCACAATCCCATGACTTTTGAACTATTGGAGCTAGGGCTTTCATATTTCACATGTGTATTCCTTGTGACAAGACCTTTCTTTGGGTACCAACATATTTGACTTCTTGACCCTAACCTTGGAGTTGACTCACTTTTGCAAAATTTTACCAAACTTAACAATCGTGGCCATAACTTTTGAATGGTTTGTACTAGGGCTTTGATACTTCACATGTGTATTCCTTGTGATAAGAACTTTCCTTGGGTACAAATATTTTTGACCTTGACTTTTAACCTACTTTTGAAAAACTTTAACCTTGGCCAAAAGTTCTGAATGGTTGAAGCTAGGGCTTTCATATTTTGCATATGTATTCACTGTGATAAGACGATTTCATAGATATAAACAATTCTGACCTTTTAACCTTGACCTTGGAGTTTAACCTACTTTTGAAAACTTTAACCTTGGCCATAAGTTTTGAATGGTTGAAGCTAGCAATTTCATATATCACATGTTTTCCTTATGACAAGAACAACAATTTTGATGTTTTGACCTTGATCTTGGAGATTGACCTACCTTTGAAAAATTAAACCTTGGCCATAACATTTGAAAGCTTATTGCTAGGACTTTTATATTTAAGAGATGTATTTCTTGTGACACGACATTAAGTACCAATATTTTTGACCTCATGACCTTGAGTTTAGAGTTTCACCTACTTTTGAAAAACTTTATCCTTGACCATAATTTCTGAATGGTTACATTGCAACAAGGACTTTCATGTTTCACAGGTGTATTCCTTTTGAAATATCCTTTCCTTGGGTACCAATATTTTTGATCTCTTGACCTTGGAGTTTGACTAGCATTTGAGAAAATTTAACCTTTGCCATGAGCTGCCTTGTTTTCACAAACACATCCTGTTCTTTGTAGATATTGTGTGGAAAGAGCCCACCTAGCTGGGTAAATAGACTGGCTTATGTGAGCACATGCATTCCTTTTCTTGAGCGTGCTTTACCCAAGGAATGGTTGACCCCTATAGCCTTACAGCAAGCAATCCAAGAACCCATCGTACGGGAACATGACCCAAGGGGTGCTTCAGGGCGAAGTGAAAGAGATGGGGCGTTTCATATACATAGCAGACGTAACTAGTGTACAGAGTGTCAAAAATCTTTTTTTCAGTATTGATGTATATGTGAAAATGGATGTGCATGGGTATGAGTGAAAAGTGATTTAGAATTACATGTATGGTAGATGAGATATAATTTTTTGTTTTGTTTTATACCTGTATAAAAATATTTATTATATTTTATTGTCAAGAAATTTTATGTGTGATTGCAAAGAATTTTAAATTTGTGAATGTTTTGTTTGTTATATTTCAAATAATAGTGCAGGGAACTGTCTTTTTGGCAGATCTTATGTTTAAAGACATGCCGTGTCAGTCATTGTGAATATTTGTTATATTTGCTCAGATATCCAATGTGCTTGATGACAACTAGAAGATACATAATTAATTTTTGTGTTGCATTCATTGGATAAAAAACTATCTGGAAATTTGTATAATGTTGTACAATTGTAAAATCATTTTTATACCATTGAATTCATGCAGTGTTGCAAATATGGCATGCATTGCTGTTCCTGTATTAAAATATGCCTCCGACTACTTGAAAATGTTACTGGTTATGAAGGGTTCCTCTCCTGTGTCTTATCACAAATACTTGGAGCTGCCTTTACTCAGTTATTTTTAAACAGGGTACCTTGCCTGAATATCATAAAAGCATTGTATATAATAGACAATGGTGGATAGATTTGTAATTTAGTTTATACATAAAAAAAACAGTTTTAATTGTTGATTAGGCCAGAGATTTTTTCTCAGACATTAAACCATAAACATATTAAAATTTTGAGTTCCATTCAGTCTGTAGATATATTACATTGTACTAAAGAAGAACTTCATGCACATAATGTGATGCAAAATTATTGTGACATCATTCTTGAATCCATTTACCTAATATAGTATTTGAAATAAATTTTGTTACAGTTCTCTGCTTTTAACTCATTATTACATATAAGATATGCATACAACAGTTAAAAAATGTAATTATACAACAAAACAGCAGCACAGGTTATATATATAGGATCTCCTCTAGAGCACAGGTTATTTATAGGATCTCCTCTGAAGCACATTATTTATAGAATCTCCTCTGGAGCACAGGTTATATAGGATCTCCTCTGGAGCACAGGTTTTATACATAGGATCTCCTCTGGAGCACAGGTTATTTATAGAATCTCCTCTGGAGCACAGGTTATATATAGAATCTCCTCTAGAGCACAGGTTATATATAGGATTTCCCCTGAAGCACAGGTTATATATAGGAATTCCTCTGGAGCACAGGTTATATATAGAATCTCCTCTGGAGCACAGGTTATATGTAGGATCTCCTCTGGAACACAGGTTATATATAGGATCTCCTCTGAAGCACGTTATATATAGGATCTCCTCTGGAGCACAGGTTATATGTAGGATCTCCTCTGGAGCACAGGTTATATATAGGATCTCCTCTGGAGCACAGGTTATATGTAGGATCCCCTCTGGAGCATAGGTTATTTATAGGGTCTCCTCTGGATATGATTTATATCCAGCAAGTAGTATTTTCTATCCCCAAGCCTTAAGCGAGGGGACAGAATACTTTTATTTTTTCACAAAAGAATCTCCAAACTCGGACATGTTTCATCTTTTAATGTTACTGTTGCAACTTTTATGTAAGCACAGAACCCTTATTTCAAAGAAGTTAAAATTAAATGCAATTGTACAGTTAATGCTTTTAAATCAGAAAAAAATACATGAACTTGATGAATTATATTAATTTCTGAGTAACTGAAAAACTTTATTCACAAAACACTCTTATTTAAAAAGTCTTTCAAGCATTTAGTTGAACATACATGTACATACGTCCATGCATTCTTGTACAGATGGAATGATCAAACCTGTGTATACCTTGCTGTAGTTAACATTGACTCCTTCGAGTAGAATGAATACTGATAGAAAAAATTATCTTGCAGAAGTAGTAGTATTTATTTGAAATGTACATGAACAATTCATAAAATGCATAATCCATTAAGATAATTGCGATAGGTAGTATGAAGAGAAATGAAAAAGTCATCTAGGGCCCCTGCATAATTCTGACCTTATGACCAGTCTAAATGTATCTTTCACTTACCATTGACACTTAAGCACTGAATATGAAATGTGAAGGTTGAAAAATACCTTGTCACCACAAAAAATGTTCATGGACATAATGGTGTTCATATTAAATCTTGAACATTAGATCTTTCAGCTACACTGTACCTATGTGTCACAGGAAGACAATCACTTAATTGTGTATATCTTGATATTTATTATCTCAGCCAGCTTTTAAGAGTAGCACACAGCTTAAAAAAAATTATACAATATTCATGTCATCATTTTCAACATGTTTGTATTGTTTTCATGTTTGTAGACTGTTCTGTGTCACGATTGCTGTGTTTGGATGTCAAATGATTGCTGTGTTTGGATACCACATGTTTGTCATGTGATTTATTGCCGAGTCCTGAGTATGAGTGGTAGAACAAATATGTGAGGATATGGTTGCTATGTGTGAATGTTAGTTTAAATACTGAAGCACAAAATACTTCTTTGAACTTGAATGATATTCTGAAAATAAGAGGTTGATGTTCTCTTGTGAGAAATCTACATGTACTTTGCAGTTTTAACTTCAGTTATTCCTTACTGAACCTTGGGAATACTGGTAAGAAGAAAATCAATATTGATTTTAACCTATTGCAATTAATAATTATATTGCAAATGTCTTGAATTTGTATGAGTGTGTCATTTTCATTACAGCTAGGTCACTCTCTTTACTGTACATTAAAAAAAATCATTGATCCCCCATCTAGTGTTTTTTTTTATTTATTTGATGGAAGACCTTGTCACATATGTACTGAAATATTTAAGATAAAAGTTTTTTTTTTAAAAAGTAGAAATGTATTGATGAATATTGAGAGGGCGATCTGTTCATAAAAACAAACTAGCAAAATGTGTTCCTCAACTCCTTAGACACACATTCTGCAGTTATCCAATCATACCACTCCAGCATTCTATAACTCACACACTATAAAACACACACTATAACTCACACACTATAACTCACACTCGCACACAGTCATAAACAGTAAATGAAATATCAAAAAATTTACTCAAATTTCTCAGAACCCCCTTTAAAAACATACACACACATTATGCAAAATAACCCATGGCACCATTTAATACAGCTGTGTATGTACATGTATATTAAAATGATAAACAGTTTCTTTGTCAGCCATCTTGTGATCTTCCTATATTTCTACATTTGGATCTGTTCCTTTCCCACTCTTCTGTTTCAATTTAGCTTCATTTTTGGGGTTATATTTTTCTGTCCGTGTGTGCCAAACCAAAATCTGCAAATAATTCAAAGATATATCAATATAAGACATTGAAAATTTGTTTTGTCTGGGGCTTGTTATTGTAAGCAGTTACGGCAATAATTCACAACTATGTGTACGTTACGGAATGAAATATTACAGAATTCAGTTTCCTTTGGTTTCCTTTAGAAAAATTCACATAGACTTCTGAAATGTTGAACAGGTCTGAGAGAGACAAAAACAGGTCTGAGAGAGACAAATAAGTCCAGATAACCTGTTTTTAAATGGCACAACAAGAGATTCAGAGAGGAGACGCATTTAATGCAATCTTGCAGTATGGGTCTTTAAAGTCGGTCATCAATGATGTTGTTTAATGTCATAAAACTTAACAGAGACAGAGCCAGATGAGTAGTATCTTTTTGTTTTTAATCATAAATTGGCAAATTATCAACACATCAAGCTAAAATTTTTAAAACTTCTTAAACTTTTGTTGTTTCGTCTTCCCTATAAATGTTGTAGTCACAGCATACATGGCATTAATTTTATTGCATCAGTCCATAAACTTTTTGACAACCCCTCATAACTTCCTTTTAAGTTGAATATCCAACTCAATGAATATGAATAAAATTTTACTTGGCATTAATGAAGCTAAAATAAGTTAATGTATTCAAAGCAGTCCATACCTTGGTGCATTTGTCTGCTCTGGGTTCTAAGTCAGCCATTGTAATATCTAGCAGTTTGAGAATGGTGGATTCTTGGTAGCCTCGCTGTACATTATTACTAAACCAAGCATTCGGGTGATCAAAGAACAGCTGGAGATTGACAGCAAAGCCTGCCATATCTATAGGGAATGGCCTTGTTGGCCTGTAGTACACCCCCCAGCCTGTTACCTATTAAGCATAAAATAAATATTGAGCACCCATTGATTGGCCATAACATAAGGTCGATCTAATGATTACAGTATTGTCGTTCTTGGTAAAGTCAAAAACATAAAAAATCAAGAGTGAGAGTAACAATGGTGTAATATTGTACATAGTCTCTCTGAAGTGTTATATATCACTCACTGAATTCTTATCACAGATTGGACTCTCAAATCTCAACCCTCCCACCATTGCAACGGGCCACACAGAAACTTTCTTAGTGAGACGCATCTGAAATATATATAACGATATATCAATAAAATACAGTTGAACTTCGGTATCTCGAACACTGATATCTCGAATACCATGGATATGCTGAAGTGATTTGGAAGTCTCAACCACTTCTTCCTTAAGTATTTTACCCTTGATATCTCAAATTCTCGGATATGTCGAAGTTCTTTCTCGGTCCCATCGTGTTTGAGATAATGAGGTTTGACTGTATCATCTATATGTATAAGCTCATCTCAATTTTCATTTTACATAAACTCATCTCAACTTTTAAAAGTAATTCAAGGTTTTAATGCTTTCACAACATTTAATCGACTTTCAGACATTTTAAAAGTACATGTATTAATACTTGAATGACCAGGTAAACAAATAAACAAGAATAAACAACAATAAAATCAGTTCACAAAATTCATTGTAGAAACTGCTGCACTTAAAACAGATACACATGAATCTACAAGGAAGATGACTTCTACCAAATATACAGTATTCTATATAAGACAGTTACCTCCTCAAACAGTTCTACACTGTAAGTGTTGTCATCATCAGCAAAATAAACAACTCCCTTGTCCTTGTGTGGATCAAGAGATGCACGTATCCATGTCAGTCCTGCATTCCTCTGTAAAACACCTCTCGGCTTCAGCCAGTTGGGGTCAGAACTCTTCAACTTTACTTGCTGTGGGGTGGCAACATTTAGATGTGTGTAATGTATTTTACAGTTTGCCAGAAAATGTTGGACTTTTTCCGTTTTTCTGTCAGAGTCCTCCACTAATATCCAGTGTATATTAGGCACATGAAGCAAGGTATAATAAAGACGTGTTAGTTCTGCCTTTTGTTCAATTCTGTCATATGTAGGTGTGATTAAATAAATAATAGGGAGAGATGTATTGAATGATTTCTGAAATGGCTTAAATATTCTACATTTATGTAGTTTCTCTTCATAATCTTTGACTTTCTGCTTTGATTCTTCCAATAATTTATGTTTATCATCCAGTCTTTTTTGGAGTACATCAAGTCTTTCCTCTAAAACATCATCCTCTCCTTTATCAGTAACTACAAAAGTTTATCAGTTGCAGAGAATTTTTTATAATTACAATAACATGTTGTAAATGACTGTCACTTAAGTATTTGAACTGGAAATTGGTTTTAGTGTGAGAGAGGTTTTACCATGGTAATTAAGAAGCCACAAGATGATGAAGACTGAGACACAACAGTAGACGTAGAGAAGCTTCCTCAAGGTGAACATAACCATTCCTGGTACATAGTCTAAAAACAGAATATCAATATCAAAGCATTTTAAAATATTTCTATTGTTTTTATTTTTTGTTTTTGATATTTTTAAAAATCTTTTATTTGTTTCCTACTTTTCCACAATATTTAATCTGTGAAATCAACAGAATAAAAGGTCAGATGAAAGGAACATGACAAATTTGCAGTTGCCACAATTAAGTGTCTTGGCTAACAATTACATAATTAGGTAAGGCAACTTTACAATGCCATGTAGATTCTGGTTTATTCTAATGTCTAAAAAGTTTCTTCAATAACCTGCTGATTAAATCGCTTCAAAATTCATTTTCTAACTGCTTTACTTGCATTGTTCAATATTTTAATGAGATTAAAATATTCTCTTTTCATTCAATGATGGCCTGGAGATGATAGTTCATACTGGCCATGGTCTATGACAATTAATGGATGTACATGTTCATAGTTAAGAGCATTTTTCTGATAAGAAAGCTTATATGAATAGACTTTAACTTAATTTTTAATAAACTGTATTATAATGGTATTAATGGTGTGGCAAGGTAGGTCTCACGTCTGCTTTGACCCCTCCCTCTCCATTAATTGATTTTTTGGAAATATGAAGTGGAAATATATCAGAGTGTATCCCATATGCAAAATGATTTCCAACTGGGTTGATAATCATTCCTCATTTATCTTTATCTTTCTTCATCACCACAAGTATTGAATACCAGCCAAGCTTAATGTTACTGCAGTAACATTTTCCATGCACACTTTCTACAGTGCATAAATGGTCCAACTGCAGTCAAAATTACTTGTATGCCTATGTTTAGGACAGTGTCTATATACAATCAGTCAGGTTTACCAATGCCAAAGCCAATTAGACTATGAGGATGTAACCGCTTTCTAGAATATGAATGAATCATGTAGAAAACCATCTTGCATTTTTTTGTTGTGGACGTAAAAGGTTCCATATTTAAAATTACATAAATATATATATGTATTACTTTTTTATGCACGTTACTTCTCAGGTAAATCTTTAGCTTTCAGACTTTTTTAAATGCCATTTTGTTAGTCAATCAATCACAACTTCAGCAAAAGTCAAAATTATCGCAGGAAATCGCTTACGCCACATAATATATAGAACTGGTCTTAGTAAGAGAAGATATTCCGGACAGTCATTATATTTTTTTCCTAGTACTTGTAGACATTTAGTACGATCCACAGAGATGGTACAAATATCTTTGTGTGAAAGAAAGGTATTTTTAAAGCCATATGCACACAAGCACAATCTTTAATAAACCGCTGGTGACGTGTAGGTGTCGTTAAATGTTATCAGTGCTAGAAGGTACCATATTTTTGGATAAGATTAGTCTTATAAAAGAATATGGATGTATGCATTTTTGTATTTCTTGTACAAGGTAAGAAGAAAACCTCTCTTAACTCCACGAGACAATAAATTAAAGCGTTTTTCATTATTTCTTTTTGTGTTTCACGAGTAATATATTCTTTCTACGAAGTCTATATATCGAGTAAACCCGCCGACATAGCGAACTATCAGTTTTTAACAACTGTTAGAGAGAGAGAGAGAGAGAGAGAGAGAGAGAGAGAGAGAGAGCATTTTCAATAGCGTAGCTAGGAGGTAGCAAAAAAGGAAAGGGGTTTGAGGCCGCAGCTGGAATTTATTATGTTAATATATACTGATATAAGCCATTATAGAAAAGGGGTTTGAGGCCGCAGCTGGAATTCATATTTTATGTAAAGTTAGGCATTAGGAAAGGGGGGGGGGGTTGAGGGTGCAGCTGGAATTTGAACATATTTTATGTAAATATTAGACATTAGGAAAGGGTTTAAGGCCAAAAGCTGGAATTCATATTTTATGTAAATATACTGAAACGCAAAAGAAACGCAACAAGCAGTAATCTACAAATATTTGAATTTTTTATCTCGTGATTTTCAAAAATGAATACACTAGGGTAAAACTCGATTTGAAAACATCAGAGACTTGATAAAAATGTTAAATGATTATCTTTTAACTTTAGATAGTAACACATAACTGTTAAAACACCCCCACCCCGGTCATTCAATTACATCGTGCAAGACTGGCATGCACAACAGTTGCAGCTTGATTTCTACGATGCAATAGGTTCATCAATCTCGAGATATGAGCAAAAGAAATATTCTTTGCCATGCCTGTTTTTCAAGTGTAGTGGTCAGTCGAACTTTCTCTATCCAAGCGCAGTGAAGTAACCCTTGAACTCCCGGTCCAAGGACTGTCATTCATGCTAATGATACGCAAGAGCCTGTTGAGGCGTGGTGTGGGTCATATTTACATCTGCAGCTCTCCACCTCCTTTATGTTGAGATTTTCCAGCTAGAGCAATGGAAATGCGTACTTAAGTCATTTTCAGGAAGCCTTGGCATCGCTTACGGAAAAGAAAGGATAATTTATTTTTCGGAACATTGCTGCATTACTTATGATGAACAGATACAAATCCTTAAAACCCCATATTATTGCCGAATGTTTTGCTAAATATGCAATTTTTGATTTCTGTTAAGCAGACTCAAACTTAACTTCCGGTAATGGTATGAAAATCATTTAACCGTTAAATTACCGATATTTACAAAGTTGAAGATGTCCTTACTTTTTAGATACAAAATTATATTATATATGTAATGTTTCCCCCTAAAATATGATGTTGCGTTTCTTTTGCGTCTCAGTATATTAGGAATCGTCTCTCAACCACTGTTAACAGCTTATTAAACTAACGGTCCGGAGTCCGCATATAGCTCTGTCCAGAATTGGCGAGAATAGTAAATTTTGGTCGTGGATTGCGATGATGCACCGAATAGAAATTACAAATTCCTTGACAAGGAAGAAAATAACTAAATAAATAAATAAAAAAAAAAATAATAGAACCATCATGAGACATCAGTTCTTGTTGAATAGACATAACCGTATTAAATAATCTTTGCACCCCATCCCCCAGTTCCTACAGGCCTATATTCATGGTCACGGTCATAATGGTCAGAATCACGGTCTGCATCCTCGAAACGTTAGGGATCCTGGACGATGTGTGGGTGAAAGGTCTGCGACAGTCTATATGTTGTAACATAAGATATCAGAACATCTCTTTTGCTTTATTTATTCGAAGAGAAATGCAAGTCCTCTTTTTTATATTTCATTTCAAAGATTTATTTACTTTTTGAGAAAATGAGTGATAGTGCTTTCTTACGCCTACCTAGACCTTGATTTTACATGTCTTTATTTAGCATTGTACTAACTCGTATTCTCAATATATTACTCCCTTTATTGACCAGAACTTTACTTGTGCAGCGAGAAATCCCATATAAAGTGTAATTATAACGATTCTCGTCATACGGTGCAAGATGTAAAGAAATTATTGTTTAATAAGAACAAGTTTTTTCTTACTCTTTTTTTTTATCCAGCATTTCTTTTCCAAACTTCCTCCTCCATATCCTTTAATATGGACATTAATCTGCCCGATGGAAGTTACACAATTGAAGTTGGGAACAACACTTTTTTAAAGTCATCTGACATATTCTTTAAAGTGGACAAAACTACATACTCTTTGAAAGATCAGAGCCTTAAATTCATGAATCGACAAATTTACAGTGGAAGTGACCAACATGGAAATTATTCTGTAATAAAGAATTTCTATCTGGCTGGGAAAGCGAACATTTCGACGTCATTTACGATATACGAGGATTATGACGCTATTATTTTCACACAGGTAAAGGGTTTGTCAGTCTATAATGATATAAAGTACATCTATAATAATATAAACCTTGATCTACACATATAGTTACATCTGTTAATTGACAGAACCATATCATTAATACTGTCTTTTATTAATTTTCAATCTAAAGTTGAAAATCATTACAAGACAAATAATTATGTAATCATTTTCAACTTTATATTGAAAATTAATAAAAGACAATACGAAAGAAAAATGGTTTTAATAAGTGTTTAACTTCCTAACAAAAACTATGAAATTCATGTTCCCTGGGTACAGATTGGAGCTATATTGGTCATAGACTGAAAATTCAGATACTTTTGAAAATTTTATTGAAACCTTGACATAGCAAGCAAAGTATCATTCTCTACCCAGAGTTGTCGTTCCCGCTACTCTCCCACATACACCTCTGTCAACGCTTGTTACACAAGATTCTTGGAAAAATTGTAAATGATTAAAAGTTGTATTAATAATCGTTTTTAATTATATTTCTTATCGGAAAACATTATTTATTTTAATTTATTACACCTTAAAAGGATTTTTTAATTAAGATATTAATTTTTACTCCGCAAAATAGTTCTCTTAAAACTTTGAAAATAAGTCGTTTGAGGGATTATAGCTTTAAAATAAATGATGAATTATCATCTTTATCGATAATTACAATAATTAATTACTATTAGGATTTCAAATTTTCACCGTTTAAAATTTGTACAAGAATCTTGTACAACGAGCGTTGACAGAGGTGTTGTGAGCGTAGCGGAAGACAACTCTGGATAGAGAATGGCAGAGTATATAGAAGCAAGCAAAGTATATGGATGATGGCAATAAGCTACCGTTATATTTTCTGCGATTGTCCAATTTTCGCAGTATTTTGCGGAAGGACAAATCCGCAAAAATAACAATCGCAAAAATATGAAATAAGATATTCCGTAAAGGCATCATCATTTTCGCCCCAAAACGCCGTAAATAGTGCGTACATCAAAGTAGTTTTTTGCCTGATTTTACCTGTAATCATTTCATAACCAATTTCTATAACTGAAGAAAAAAAATGTTATTTGAAATCAATTCATAAAAAGAATGAAAGATAGAGGAGCAGCAGGGCTTCTTATCAGTTCCCAATAAACATGACCACGGTCAAGTCAATCTTAAAAATGTTAAACGCTGTAATGTTCCAAATTCAACATCCGTAGTCACTTCCGGAAAGTGAATTGTTTGCGGTAAAATGCAACCGCAGAAATTAAAAATCAAAGTTTTTAGAGCTTGTGTCCAATCCCTTTGACATGCATATTGTCAATAAAATATGTATGGTAACTTTTTCCTGGACGTCTAACTGCACGCTGTCTAAAGTACATTTATTATAATGTCAGCAATTACCGGTATCTCAAAACCAAAATTATGAGATTCACTCTGATCCACTTGAGTGGAGTGGATCAGAAACCTTTGACTTGGAAAGATGAATCTCCACATAAAGGTAATAATGTTATATTGCGCAATGATGCATTTTTTCTTCACAATGTAACGCCCTTTCAAAGTCTTTTCATTTTGTGCTATACAAAGCTTTTTGAAAAGCACCAAAAAACATTTTTAACCTTATTACGCCTTTTCACTTTGCATTATAACACAGGTCTGTTTTTGCGTTATCACGTCCTTCAAAAGGCATAAGAGCTCATTTTCGCGTTATAACGTAATTTTGTGATTTCAGATTTTCTAAAAGTTCCTTGAAGTTTTTAAGTATCCACATCTGATTTACACCACTTCTCGAACATGTTGTACAGTACTCCTGAAGATTTCCACCGCTGTTAATATTTCAGTGAGGAATAATGAAAGAGGCTTAGTAGAACGTTTACCGGTTTACCGAAACCCGTTTTTCACTCTGCGTTAATTGACTAATTGTTAATTTTCGCCTTTTATTTTCTCTTTGCCTTTAAAATACTTACCGTTTTCGTAGTTTGATCCTAATCGTATTTGGCCTTTCTTATGCAGAGAATTAGCAACTATTTGACAATATTATTTATACGGAGAATGTTTCTTCTAGGATGATAATAAATAGTTCTCTAGGTGCTAAGAGGATGTTACTGTTCTCCTGTATTAACACATGGACAGATAACTCTTTAAAACACCGGGTGATTCTTTAATTGTAGACATACCATAATGAAGTCAAAGGAACAAGTTCAGACTCATATGACAAAACAATTTCCGGGTTTCCGAGTTTTAGGGTGGATAGCTATGACACAGCTTTAGGGTACCTATCCCTTGATGGCTTTATGGCAGGAGACACAAAGAAGCACATAGGAGGGTAGGTTATAAAAATTCAGTTAAAAAATACTCAAACATTATACAAAATAGTCCCCAAGGTCAAAGACTGACGGATACATAGATCATTTTATGGTTTGTCTGTCGAAACACAATTTCAACATATAGTTATAACAAGTGGTTAACCTTAGATGCCAAGTCCGAAAATCAGCGAACTTCACATTGGTTCAAAATGTAAGCCAAGGTCAAAGTTCATACTAGTTGAAGGGTAAGCCGTGGCATTCACCAGCTCGTTCACTAAGTGGGAACTCTTTATGTTTTGCCAACACACCTTGTTCATACACAGGCTTTCACAGACCAATATATAGTCTTTTTCTATAGTAAATTTTCATTTAGATTCTGGTTGCCCCCCCCCCCTTCCCCCTTTTGTTGCGGCAAGGTGGAGGGGTGGCAAATTGCAGCATTTGAATAAAAATGTGCCAAAATATTAGAAAAAGGTCCACCCTCAACACCCACTCCCTCCAAATAGGACGGGTCTATTTCATACACTAATGCAAGTGCATAGTTTAAAAAATTGCTCTCGGAGTTTCAAATCTATACACTCTATCACATTTATTTCTGATCAACTAGTGCCGTTCACAGATTAACGCCAATCAGTTTTAGCACTTAGTGTTCAAGAGGGTTTTGATTTGTTTAAGATTCAACATACACATATACAGATTGTTCTTAAAAGCAATTATACACAAAGGTTGCTTGTTTCATGTGCTTCGACAAGATGTTTTTGTAGATGGAACGTACAGACAGACGCCATTGGGGATGGACTACAGGGAGGACCTCTAGCGGTGTTTGACGAACAGGGGAGAACATTTCTGATTTCTCCTTTTTCAAGATTCATGGCGGCATCCGCTTGGCATGATTCTGAAAAAGGTGGCAACATATTCTGTGGAATAATGGGAGGTGTCGACGAAGTTCCTGCGAATTTCACCTACAGCACCATACTCTTCTACGCCGATGGAATAAATAAGGTCGATATCTAACTGTCTTTACTGGAAGAAACATATTCAAGATATCAAGAAAAGTTTTATTTTTTGCAAGACGATAAGATATATTCTATATTTGATAGGCATTTGATGGATGGGGAGAATTCCTACAGAAACAATACGGGGAGAATGAATGGTATACTTGGCAAGACGACACCATTATTTTTCTGGGATACTGGTCAGACAATGGTTTGGGACTTTTTACCAAGGCGATATATTAGTTTGCATACTTTGTAACAAAATGATATGAAATGTAAGCTCTTTTCTTTTGAAGGAGGGTACTACTACTTTAAGACAGAACCAAACAAAACATATGAGCAGACGATGATAGATTTGATTAACCAAGAAATCAATGTTGCGGGATTGAATATGGGGTTTGGCAGTACTCAGCTTTAAATTCATGGATTTGTTTGAAGATTTTCCTCCATTTCTTTTCGTATATACTATTTTTTGGACAACATGCAATCCTCCTACAAAATAGAGAGTCAAGGAAGTAATAATTTCTCGTTTTGCTGTAGATATATCCAGTATGATTCTTGGTGGTACTATACAGGAGCCGGAAATGGCGTTAAAACATGGCAACCGAGGCCAGACGTCTTCCCAGACGGACTCGAGTAATAATTATATAGTTTGCTTGGAACATTTGTCAGATTTCTATGTATGTAGGATTTTCAGCATTGAACAAAAAATATGAAAACATATTATTTAGGTAGAATGTACAAAAATATGAATTCGAAAGCAAAAATACTCAGTAGGGAACATAATTTAATTCCAGACACATGTTTAAAACTACTAATATGCCTGTGGCGTTACACAGTAAATATTGGTAAGTTATTATACTTCTTGGATCTACAGTGTAATACACACAAGAAATATAGAAAAGTAAAATTTTCAAGAAAACAAATAATGTACAGGAGCATATTATTTGTGCATTTTAATAATACTATATGTAGGATTTTGATTTAAAGGTCAATTGATAACTCTTACGCAAAACAAAATGGTGGGAAATATGATTTCCTTATAGAGGATCTCGGTGGTCTTCCTCTGCAGCAGGTAAATATTGCTCTGTTAAAAAAGAGGAAATTCTCACCTGACGTATAGTGATCTGCTATATAAACACTATACATTTTATTATGCATTAGTTGCCACAACTCAAACAGACTTCAATGATATTAATTGTATTTGTACATTTCTGTTTTCTTAACCATCAAAGAACCATTTTAACGTACATGTATATAAGAAAAAATTCTCAAAGGACAAGGTATGGTAACGGCCGAATCTGCCCCCTTATTTGATGTAAAAATAAGAACACAGTTAAAGCTGTGATAGTTTGTAGTTAAAAACTTAAAATGATGCTTGTTTTAAAACCAGCATAATTTTGATTCAAAGCTTGCTTACAAAGAGGCCACAAGAGGTTGCAGAAGTAGGACATTTTCCCGAATTTCCTAAATTCTGGTTGAATTTTGTCAAATTTGAGATACTTTTCACTTCGGGAAACATAGAGCACAAGCTTGCCTATCTGAGATTTTATACACAAGATTCATCTGATACTATAGTTTATGAAATATATAAATTTGGTAGGTAGGCAAGCTTGTGCTCTGTTATCTGAAACAAAATGTGCTGTAAAATCGATGAAAATTTTCATAAAAATGAGAAAATTCGGAAATCGACATTTTTTTTTTTTTTTTACCTTCCTGTGACCCCTGTGTATCCCATAATTTAGAACCAATACTCATTTTGTGGTAGGGGTGACAATAAGTTTTCACTGATAAACTGTTGCATCATTCTAAAAGACAACCCAAACCAGTGGCCAAAAAGGTGCCTTAGCCTATCTTGTCCTTTATTCTATATGCATCTAAAATAAATTTCAGAATGATAACATATGGTGCTTTAAAACTTGCATACTGAAACCACACAAACTTGTGCTTTCGTTTTGATTTTTTCACTTGTCTGTCAAAATCCTCATCGTACAAAATGAAAAAGAAGTATTTTGAATATAATAGAAGTAAAAAGTAACATACATCATTCCTAATCTTCGGAGATGCCTTAATGGTAAATAATTTCTTATATTTCCAGGAGTTTTGGGATGATTTGTTTAATAATGCTTCAAAGTGGGGAATGTTCTTGTATGAACAAGTAAGTGAAAGTTTGCCATTTATAAAATTAAAAACGTAGACTGTAGCATAAATTAAAAATGTTCAGAAAACGTATGAGCAGGTATAATGACTTGATGACTATAAAGCACTGTGAATTTTCTATTGTCATTGAAATGGATTCACCTACAATGAATAGATTAAAAATAATATCGTGATCTTCAAGTCTATAACCACCACTATTTCAAAGTGGTACATGTACTGGTATATGGTTATGCCGTTAAAAATATAAAAATAATAAAAATTCCCTGACGATTGTAAATTCATTCACATCACCCATCTACTATATCTTTGATAAAAAAATTATTATACTAGAACTATGAAGCACCGACAGTTATTCTTTAACATTTCATCTTCAATCATTCTTAATGTGAGAGCAGAACCCATTGATACCCTCCGCCTTTTTAACAGTAAAATGAAATGCTTTAATCAATATGTCAGCTGCAAAATTACAGGTATTGATGGCCTTGTGGTGTTTTGTTAATGGCTATTACTCTTGGTTTTGGCCGATAATTTATGGTTCTTCGACATTTCCTGCACGGGTGATTCTTTGTTTCAGAATAAATGCCAACAATGATCCAACCAATTCTCTGATCTATTGCTGAATTCCAGATTTATATTTATTAAACGGAAGCTTTTTCCTTTTTAGGACTGGCTAAACGGAGAACTGGACAGGGTTAAGAAGTTAAAGACGGATCTCTTTCTTGGAGAACTTTGGCTGACACAGATGCATGACGCGGCTGCCAAGCAGTACAACTCTATACAATACTGTATGGCTAACCCACGTCACGTGATGCAGGCTATAGCCCTTCCTTGGGTCACACAGGTTCTAAATTTACCTGTACTCCTTCACATCCTTGCATATTAACGACTTATTCTTAAGGCTATGGTACAGAAAGGTAGTTTCCCCCTGTTTTCCGAACATAAACTTTTACTATTCATTTAGTATGAAAATGTCAATTGAAGAGCCAGTCCTTCCAACCCTTTTTGTCGCAGCAAAGTGGCCAGATTCTCCCGTCTTGATGTAAAATTCGTATCGAAAAAGTTTGAACCTTGCCCACTTTACAAACTTGGCCCGAGAATGGACCTGTTTTCAAAAAAGTGTTAAGCTGGTACTTCGTCTGAAAAGCAGCATCTGACGCTGGACATATAGTTAACATTTCTTGAGCATATTTTATTGACAACATGTCAATGCCATGGACACAAGTTCCAATAACTTAGGTAGTCCTCTTCCCACATTTCTATATATAAATGAATTATCCCGGTTGGTCTAGGTTTGGTATACATATTGGGAAATGGACATGTTCTAATACTTTAGCAGTTTTTAGCTTTGAACACTGACCTGGTGCATGGTTTAGCATTAAGGTGATTTCAACTTCATGGAGGTGAGTTACATGTACATGTACAGAGTCAACCTTTCATACATTGTCATAGAAACACTCAAAAGTCCAGGTGATACAGGTATAAGACCCACTTTTGCCGTTGGTCTATCATAGGCATTCAGGGCCAGCTAACGTATAAACCTTAGTTGATAAACAACAATTACAACTGCAGACAGTCGGCAATCAGCGACATTGTGGGCGATGGATTTTTGTAAAGGATAAATTTAAGCAGTCAATGTCATTTGAGGAATAACTGTCTTTATTGGTTTTATGATGTGATCAAACAGTTTGCAAACTCATAAAAAGACCAAAAAAAAAAAAAAAAATGAAAAAAAGGTCAAGGTCAATATTTTACATTAAAATAGAGTCAAAGCCATAACCTGAGAACCGTTTTATATTAGGATTTTAAACTTGGAACATAGTAAGAAGACATTTATACAAGATGCACTGCGCCAAAATTTTGACCTTGACCCCTTTCTTCATCAAGGTCAAATAGAGAAAACACGACTAGACCATAACTTGAGAACCCTTTGACATTAAGACTCCAAACTTGGAGCTTGAAAAGGTTGTATAGAGGAAGGGTGAATGCCAACATTTTTTTCACCTTGACCTATTTAAAATAAAGTCAAAGACAATCTTTTATATGAAAATATAGTCCTGGTCATAACTTGAGAACTTTTTGACATTAAGATTTCAAACTTGGAACAAGGAAACACAACATTAAGACTAAATGCACTGCATCAAAATATTTTGCCTTGACCGCTTTCTTCATTCAAGCTTAAATTAGGAAAAACACGGCCAGACCATAACTTAAGATCCTTTTGACATGAAGACTTGAAATGCTGTACACAGATGTAGGAATTTGAGTTGATATGCACTGCATTTTTTTTTACCCTAATCCTATTATTGCACTCGTTAATGTTGATAAAGAAGGGGAGACATGTGTGTGTGTGTGTGTGTCTAAACAAAACAAAACCCACTATAGTTAGTTCCTAGTATTATGTGTTAACTGTACCAGGAACATGTATGTTGTAAAACTTTCAGTCATTGTGCGATTTAGTCTCGTGCGAGGTAACCCTTGTATAAAAGTGATTTCATAGTCTCGTTCGAGGTAACCCTTGTATAACAGTAATTTCATAGTCTTGTTCGAGGTAACCCTTGTATAACAGTGATTTCATAGTCTCGTTCGAGGTAACCCTTGTATAACAGTGATTTCATAGTCTCGTGTAACCCTTGTATAACAGTGATTTCATAGTCTCGTTCGAGGTAACCCTTGTATAACAGTGATTTCATATAGTCTCTTGCGAGGTAACCCTTGTATATAACAGTGATTTCATAGTCTCTTGCGAGGTAACCCTTGTATAACAGTGATTTCATAGTCTCGTGCGAGGTAACTCTTGTATAACAGTGATTTCATTATTTGACAGGTGAGGGTTAGTGAAGACTATCATCCCGGGGGAGAGCAGTGGAGGATCGGAATTACCTCTTTATTTGTTGGCGCTCTTGGAATGCGACCTTTCAAAGACAATTTCTGGACCTCAAAAGCCCAACCTGAAGATAAATCAGGTATACATGTATACGATGGACCGTTGCTCTGCTTATAGAGGCTAATTGCAATCGACATGGGACATATTTTTACGTATACCTTGTCACGCATAGTGTATGAAATGTAAACTGCATTCTTATGCCCTGCTCAACTGTTTCTCATGTAAACCCAGGAAAGACCGAGCCCTACAGCGCCTTGAATGCCGTGGTGTCTACACTCTCTATGGGTCCTGTGGGACCCAGCGACAGAATAGGGGCCATAAACACATCCCTTTTGATGCGGTATACTCTTCACCAGGGTTCTCAAGAATCCTTTTATGCTTATTCCTGAGTAATTCCACAAAGAAACGTTTGATCAAAGTGCTCATTTGATATCTTATTTGTTTTCGGAATGTAATGACAAATCCATGGTAAATGGCTAATGAGTAGATTAACAAATATACGATGAATACATGTGTATATTATTCGCACAGTAGATATCCTATAGAAAGTTTTCTGTTTTGAATACTTGTGAAAAGATTTACATAATTATGTCTACAGTTGCTGTGGTGAATATGGACATATCTACAAACCAGACAGACCTATCACTGCTACAGACTTGCAAATCAAAAAGGTATAATTTGTATTTCCAATTTATAATGAGTTTGTGTGTTTTGAGTTGTATTTTCTGCTTCAGGTTGAAGCTCTATTATACTCACTTTCTTCTCAGAAAGCCTTTACAGGTTTAGACATGGAAGTTTGGTGGTCGTTTACGAAAATCAGGGTCAACAGTACCGCTATCGATGTTAACTGGACTTGGGGCGTGGTCTTGGCCGTGGACACACCTACTGGTCTCCAACTTCTTAAGCAGGATCTAAACTTTATGGTTGGTTCAATGGATAACGCAAATTTTGTGATATAATAATTTTTTCTCGAGTTTTGAAAGGAAGTCTTAAAAAATTCGTTAACGTTCAGATTGAAAATCAGAAATGACAAGGTTTATTTCCTTGGTTTTAAATTCCATATGAATTTAAACCTGTAGGCACGTAGTATCGTTTTTGAAAGTGGAGGGAGGGGGTCGGAGTAGAGAAAAAAATTCAACTTATCTGAAAAAAATGACAAGCAAACAAAAAAAAAAAGAAAGGAAAACTGTCTAAACTTGAAAATCCTATTTCTTGAGGGGCGTAGGTTTCAGCCTTTTTCATTACCAAATTTTCTTCAAACATTACCACATTAACCTGATTTGACTAAACTATAACAAAATATGGAGGAGAGGGGGCAACAAGCCTCAATAATAAAAAATAATGTTTGGAAAAAAGTGGGGGCGGGGTACCCCCCCCCCCCCCCAGATACTCATTGTCTGATCTGAATAAAAAGATTTTCGTTTAGTACATTATGTCGTCTATTTAATTTGTTACTCTATATCCGTGTTAAAGTGAACTGAGGCACAGCTTTATTTCAGGATGATGGTAATGATTATGGTGTTTTTAGCTACAAAGACCCTGGAAGCTTTCAGTTGTTTGACAACGATACTGGTTTACGCCTTCCCTCTTGTACCAAAACTGAATTCTGCCTATACCATTTCCCGCCAAAAATTACACACAGGTAGTCTAAGTAACTTAGAATTGAATGAAATTGTATAATATATTTTAAAAAATGTGGATTCAGGTGTAACAAAACCGTTGCGGCTCTTGACCTTGACATCCCCAAGCCCATATATAGACTCCAGAATTTTTACAATTGTAGGGTATGTGTTTCTGAGAGCGCCTTTTGCCCTGAATTTCATGGAAGTTTTTGAATGAAAAATTACCCGATATTGTCCACAATTACACTAAATTCGGAAAACACTAAATTCGGAAAATTCGTAAATTTATTTTCTTGCAGGTAGTCGTGCATGGTAAAATTTTTTTTTTTTTTAAATATCACTAAGTTGCTTGCTAATAATATAATACATCTACACTAAAGTGATTGCTTTTTTAATATTTTAAATGCAACTAAAAACAAATTTACAAAAAGTTGTGTATATCACACATAATCCACGTTTGATAAGGAATAGGATATTTGTAAATTGTATTTTAGCGGACACGATGTTTACCTTTTGGGAGAGATGGAGAAGTGGATGCCAGTTAATAGGATGAGAGTGGTGGGGATAAATTACTTACAGGATGATCTACTTATCAACATCTTCGGGAAATTCCAATCGAATATCACCCTTCATTACGTCATAGACGGGCAACTTAAGAATGTCACGTGCCAGATTAAAAATAGATTGTGGAACTGTGTCTCCATTATCAGTGGAAAATGTATTTATGACAATTTAAATTAAATTTTACATTATCCGACACACTTTTATTGTATTATCCTTGCGAGCATCGTCGCAAACCACGGCCAAAATGTACGATCCTCTCCCATTTTGGTAGAAGAGACATATATGCGGACTCCAAACCGTGGCTTTGAGACGATGCCTAGAGAGGAGAGATTTAACATAAGAGTATATTTCATACTCTGCACTTTGAGTAGTTTATGTAAAGCAAATCAGACAATGTTTATGAACTGTCTTGATTTCATGGACGTGTGTGCATCTTATTTAATGTGTGCCACTCTTTCTAATTTCGATTTCTAGGCGTTCAAAATTTTAATACACAATACTAATCAAAAATCATTTCCTCAATGGGACCAAGAAAAATTACGATATATCTGAGTATTCGATATACCGAGTTTACAATACATAATGAAAAAAAGTAGTTGGGATTTACAATAGTTACTGACTTTGAGATTTCCATCGTTTTCGAGATATCGATGTTCGAGATAACGAAGTTCAACCTACCTTTTCAGTTATTACTTACTCAGTACATACAGCATGTTCTGAACACAGGCACTTGTTTCTGTAATACACGTGTAGTTTTATTTCATATTTGTGATACTTTTTTTTTTTTTTTTTACATTTTTACGGGCATTGTCCTAAACAGCACTGCTAAAAGCACACTGGATAGGGAATAGCAAGTCTTGCCCTAGAGAGCATTGTTGCAACCACTATTGAAATAACGCTCACTATTGAAATAACATTCACTATTGAAATAATTATTTCAATAGTGGGCGTTTTTTCAGTAGTGGTTTTTACCTGGTTTTGGTTTTGAAATGCATTCTCAAATTATTTCAATAGTGGGCGTTATTTCAGTAGTGGTTGCAACTGAGCATATTGAACGACAAAATAAACACAAAAGGGTAAACACACTGTAAAAATTGTGTTTAGGAAATAAACACTTCTCTTACATGTTTAGACCTAAACGTGTGTAGTATTGTGTTTAACAACTAAACACTTATGTCTTAACATGTTTTATATCTAAACGCGTTTAGAAATTAAACACGTTTTACTGTAAAGTGCAGAGTTATCTTCCCGGAAATGACACACATATATTTGAACGTTAATTTGAGCGGCTATCTAAACAAAGAAAACACAACAAACTAAGGTGATGTATCAACGAGAGTTATGACAGCCCAGTTCAAGGGATAACCATGACGAAATAGTGAAATACGTGAAAGGGCATCTTGTTACTGCAATACATTAAAGGTTTGTTTTCTTTTTCTTTGCATCAATTAATCACGATGAGCAACGTAAATAAAGCTGACTTGGGATATCTTGAATTCGTTCATAGACTTGCAGGAGAGGAAATAATGTTAAATGTCATTAAAAACATATATATTTATATCAGTATATTTCACTAAAACTTGAACAATTTTGTTTTTCTAAGTAATGTAAAATATCAGTGATAGTGTACTTTTTCTAAAATCTGGCTTTCTTTCCTACAGACACTGTAGTCCGGATCGAACTCAAAATTCACGCATCAGAGTATCCTCAAGTGGAATTTTCTTGTTCCATAATCAACACTTTGAAACTTCATTTGTTGAAGACTACTATGTTAATTCGACAGTGTTTACAATTATCCTCGTGCATTCGAAATGGATTACTTTCTGGCAGTTATTGATGGGATATAGATTATAATATGTTGTGCTTTGGGACTTGCTGAAAGTTAAAATTAAATTTTATATTTTTGTGATTGACATGAGGAAAACTTTGCAGCCGATTCAAATTATAATGATTATAATAAATATATATATAAATATACATTTTGTATTTTTAATATAAAAATTCTTTAATAAAGCCTTTTAGAAATATTCAATGAAGTTTTGATATTAAATTGACAGCTTAATATTTTTTCTTAATAATTTTGAAGATTAAAAGTTTGTTATCTATGTGTACGTTATAAATTATGTGTCATTCTGATTGAATTGTTGAGACTAATCAAATCTATTCGTGAAAGTGTCACAAAATCATTTTCTGTCTAATGTAAATGGCCAAACTGTATATTACTAAAGTATGTTACAATTTAACATTATATACTACATATGTTTATATTACCATGCCACACAACCTTCCTTTGATGTTTGTTATATTTACTCAATGCTATAAGATGTATGTATTAGGCAATAAAGATTATATATTCAGTTCTATCTCCTACATTTTTTTGTGTAAATTAAGTACATGTACATTGCAGAGTGTCCATTGTATTGTATAATTAAATACATATCCCAACGTTCAGTGGTTTTATGGAAAATAATTAATATTGGTTACATATTTTGAAAAATTTGACAATTATGCGCATTGAAAAAAACATATACTTTTTGTGCCTAAATTTACCAGTGTTTTGTTTTTCTGCAGGTACAAATTATACTTATGATGTGTTTAGATTTTAAACACTTCTGCTGTTATGTGTTTAGAATTTAAACACTTGTGTTTATGTGTTTAGATATGTTTAATTTCTAAGCACACAAGTGTTTAAATTCTAAACACTTTCTAAGACATGTTTAGGAATTTTACATGTTTAGGAATTAAACATATAAAAAAGGAGGTGACAACAAAGTGTTTAGAAAAGTGTTTGAATTGTAAACACATTTTTTACACTTCTTTCTTCATATGAAATAAACACATTCTCTAAGATTTTATGTGTTTAAGTCAAGATTATAAGATTTTGCACTAACCGGACCTTTAAACGTACATGTAAACGGAACTTTTCTTCTACGGGCCGGACCTTTTCCTATAAAAGGCGGACCTTCTATGTTATCGTATCAAGTCCCCCAAACCTTTAAACGAGGCGGCGACACCGGAGGTGAATCTAAGATTTCGGAGCATATTTTCTAGTCTATATTTGCTAACAATACTTAATATGTGATTAAAAAATGTATATAAAATATTGATTCAGTTTATAGTTAATATGTTTTTTTTCAATGGGTATAATGTGTATAGGTGTGTGTGTGAGGGGGGGGGGGTAGTGATGAGGGAGATCTTTTTTCTAACTTTTCGGTAAAAGAGTTCGACCATACTGCAACAAAATGTGCAGGGACCAAGAAGCCAATTAATAGATTTTTTAAATTTTTAAACTACAGCAAGACTATTCTCCCCAAAAAAGTGCCCCCTTTCGTACTATCGGCCTCTTTGAAAAGGCGTTAAAGCGAAAAATGTAAAGGCGTTATTTTATGTTCTTAACTATATGAATGATTAAATCAAAGCCATCTTTTTTTATGCAATATTTAAAAAAAATCTATACTCCCGCACATCTCGCAAACATATTATAAGAAGTCAACACTCTACTTGTGAAAATGCATGGTTAGGCAGGTGCAGCTTTGCTGGTCATATATTAAAAAGTCATTCCAAATTTGAAAATCCTTTTCTTTCCTCTTGGTATAAAGCAGGCAAACTATTTCCATGTGTATAATGAGCAATTAGCCTTCAACCAAAATTGTGAAATTCATGACCCTTGATAGAGGTGTTCTGCATCAGAGAGGGACTAAGTTGGTTTAATTGCCTGGATACCTAACTACAATCTGTTTGTTTGGATACCTAACTACAATCTGTTTGTCTGGATACCTAACTACAATCTGTTTAAATATTTTTTTGAGAAATTAGCCCTATACCTAATTGTGAAATTCCCGAGGGTCAGCATTTCAGCCCCCGTTGTGGGCTAAGTTAGTCATGTATCGAAAATAAAAGGTGTAATATCGTCTTCTTGAAAGGCGTAATAACGCCTTTTTAGAAAGGCCTAGTAACAACTCATTTTTTCGCGTTATATACATGTGTCTTAGGTTTAAGGCGTAAAATAATGCCTTTATGCGCGCCATTACGCCTTTTCAAAGGCGTTTATAACGCCTTTTAATTTTCCCCCGGTAGTTTGATCCTATAAAAGGCTTTCGTACGTGGGTATCCGACGATGCTTGTAATTGTTTCTGTTAATAAACATAACTCTTTAAAAATCAGTTCTACAGTGCGATGACCCCAGGGGGTGGCTAGGCGTACGCAAGTACTTCCTCATTTCCTCGGCTTTATGAGTTATACCTATATATATTCATAGACTTTGTAGCTGTTTTATACATATGTAATTACAATGGAAAGAAATGATTTAATTATGAAATATGATGAAAGAAGTAATGGTTTCATTGTGTTTTCGTATGAGGAATTGGTACATTTAATTCAGTTACTAAACATTTTTAGTAGCATGAAATATAGTGCCGTCTATTCATCCTATATATCAAACACCTAATTATGGTATCATTTGTTTATGTTTATTCTCTCATACAAAACAAAATGTATGTCTGATCTCTTAAATAGACATGGTTGAAATGCTGTCATGTACGGAATTGTATGACGTTTTCCTCTATAAAATTATGTACTTAGAACTGTGCGACGAAATATAAGGGCTTTTAAAGTTAGAAAGAGGGGGATTTGCATCCCCCCTTCACACTTATACACCAAGGATATATATATTTCCTATGCTTGCGGAAATGAACTTGAAAATTGAACTTCATGTAGCCATTAGATACATGTAGATAGGATGAATCAGCAATATATACAACCCATACTACTGTTACTAACACCACCGGCACCCCTAACACCACTTTGCAAGACGGGTTCGTTATACATTCAGTATAAAATATAAGAGACCACGAACCCGATTTAATAAGGAAACAACCTGAAAAGGCTTACGGGTTTTGTGCAAAATTTACAGATTGCGAAATGGACTGAGGGATAGTAAAACGCTGAAGTCTGAAACTGCAGATGTAGTATTGTGCATAACCCGTGTCTGCAGGCAACTGACAATGGCGTCTCAACACCATAGTGACAACAGCATAACCACCCCTAAAAACAACATCGAGGGGATCCCAGATTTTGGGTGGCGAGTTAATCTAAACTATGAGTGTATTGTTAAATGTAAACCATTTGCACAGCCTCGGTTCAGTCAAGTCATCGGTTTTATTGGTCTGGGAATAAGGTATTGGTCTATATCTGTTTTTTTTTTTTAATATCAGATGCATTGTTAAACAAGCATGGACTTGTGTGAAAGTGTGCTCGCTGTATGCATTATTAATGATGCAGAACAACCTGTATCCATGATCAAATAAAAGTGTATATACTTTAATAAGGCCCTATAAAATTATCTTTTTTTTTAAATTCTTGAATTCACTACAGTGAAGTAACTTGGAATGTATTTCTTTTAATTGCCCCAGGCACCTATAATTGATCTAAAATAACATTGTTACTTAGTCCTATCTTAACATGGAATGTGCTGTTATGATGCACAAATTTCAGTAACTTTCACTTGTAGATTTGTTTAAAATATGCCCTAGGAAGGAAGGAGTTACGTGTAAATATTTTATTTTTGACTTTCTGTAAAACAACAGAGATCTCTAAAATTACCCATGTGTGAACAAGAAAAAAAGGATGGTATGAATAAGTATTGTGATAAGATGTATAGAAAAATAATAGTAGAAAGATTATGCTGAAGTGAAGCAGGAAATAGGCATCTCTTTTTAATTTGTTATTGTGAAGGTTTAACTATATAGGTAGATGTTATAGTGATTCAAAAAGAAAAAGAACAGAAAACTCAATAGTACATTTTAACTTGATTGTGGTCATGTTACAGATACGCAAAGGAATGGTGGAAAATGCGACGTCTAGGCAGGAAAATGTTTATAGACCACATGGACCAGTTGTTTCACAAGGCAATATATGGTAAACTTTAGAATAGCAGTGATGCATTTGCAAAATAGGATAATATCTAAAAAAAAATATTTGATATTAGTTTGTTTTGGTATTTTAGTTTATGGACACACTGTAAGATACACTGTATGTAACAAGATTTTTATTCTTGTCCATTATACAACCTCTTCCTCAAAATAAAAGTTTGTATTATAAAAATTAAATTTCAATATTTTTAAAAGAATCAGTTACATTCTGTTTGAGAGAAGATCCAGTATTTTAACAAAGGGAAATGCAAGGGAATTAATGGAAATAGGGTTTGTGACTGGTTAAAAAGCATGTTTCATAACTATAGAGAATATTGCTTAAAAAATATTTTAGAATCTAGGCCTTTTTATTTGATTCCCAGTATTTGATCCTGATTTAAAAGCTCTGTTTACAGTTGATGATGATAATCTTTTATATTGTGTTTTAGGTGCGCCGATAGGGGGCATTGGTTGTGGAACTATAGGGAGGGGATACAGAGGGGAATTTGCCAGATTTCAAATGGTACCAGGGATTTATGACCATACCGTGATTCAAGCCAATCAGGTAAAAGAAAAAGCAGGAAACTACCCCAATTGTAAATCATGATCTATTCTTAAAGTAAGGAGGAAGTGTCTTTTTCTGAAATTTCTTTATCCAAAGATCCAAAGTATTATGATCTTTTCATAATACAAGGAGGAAATAGGAATTTTAAATTTTATTCAAATGATTAAAATTAAGCATACAAATATATGCATGGGCACCATGTATATGCTTATGTTTTTTTTTAATTTAAATTTCTTTATTTCAAGCATTCATGAAAATAATTTTTTCAAGATGAAAACATATTTCTTATAACAACTTCTCTCTTTAAACAGTTTATTCTTTGCATAAGAAAGAATGGTAAGACTGTGTACCAGAAAGTCCTGACAGGGCAGAGAGAAAGCTCTAAATCCTTGAAGTCCTGGGAGTGGCAGGATCCCAGGGAGGGGGATGTTTATCATGCCTTGTACCCCAGGTCTTGGACAGTTTATAATCTGGATGAGTTCAATCTGAGGCTTATCTGTAGGCAGGTGTCACCAGTATACCCACATGACTACAAGGTTTGTGCATAAACATGCAGGAACAATAATGAAAAGTAGTAATGTATGTACTAATCTTAACAAGAGATATGATAAGTAATAAGGTCTCTCTAATTAGAAATTCCTTCCTCTTTAAATAGCATTGGATGCTAAATAAGGCAAATATCAGTATTTGTATGTTTGAAAGTGGTTCCAACACCTGAAGGAGTGATCTAGGTAGACACAGGATGATGCCTTATAGAATTTTTTTAAATTAAAGCAATTATGAGGGTTGTTAGAAAAGTTTGCGGACAAGTTCTATAGTGAGCATGCTATTTGTATGAAACCAGTAAAACTCTGCAGATAAAAAATATATGTATTTTCCAATAAATATGCAAAGGTTTGGTGTTTATATTGGCAGGTCTTTGTCTTTCTATTTCCTGTGTAAATAAGGACCCCTTGAAATACATTATCATTATAAAAATCTCCTTGAATTTATCATAATCCTCTTTGAAATGCTTAATCATAAGCCTCCTTGAAATGTTTTACATCTATGTGATTTGTACGGTAAGTAAATATTACAGAGGAATTAAAATGGCACACAGAAAATTTTCATGGGGCCTGATAAATTTAATTGCTGCATTCAAAAAAAAAAATCATAGTTCTAGAAATGGAGCTTTGTTATGAGTGTTTGGAAAAGGCAAGTACAGAAATAACGATGTATGGATTAATTGCTTCAGATTAATTATTGTTTTAGGATAGTACATGAAATAAGGGGCAAAAGTCAATTCCAAATTGTAATGACAGAGTATCATAAAAAATGAAAAAAAAAAAATCAATAGATTGTAATAAACATCATATTTGTAAGGTTATGAGAAAAGACTTTACTTTGGTGAAGAAATGACTACTTCTGAAATTCTATCTACACACTGCACATTAAAAAAAAATTCTGAGTTTGTTGATGTAAATGCTCTAATTTAAAATATTCCTAGGGTCCTATTAAAGTAAAAATTCAACTCACGCAAAATTGTATATATATTCAGTAAGCATGTGACTTCTAACATCAGATGTTGATACTCATTTTACTGCAGATTTCAAGTTAATTTGTTAGAGGTACATAATAAATGTTTTATAACCCTATAAATTTTTCAGTTCATATTATTGCATGTTGGTTTTAGGACACAAGTTTTCCAATGGCTACTTTTATCTGGACAGCTGAGAACAAGGGAAGTGAACCTCTGGATGTGAGTATTATGTTCACATTCAAGAATGGTCGCGGAGTAAAGGATGATGGGAATGGAGGCTGCCACAATCACCTGTTTGACCTTGACACCGAGGGAAGGAGGGTGTCGGGGGTCTCCATCAATCATAACATACAGGACATGAAATGTACATACTGTATAGCAGGGGTGCATCATGTAAGTATCTGTTCTACTAGTATTTCCCAGTACTGTTTGTGTACCATATATGCATGTATTTAGCATAATAAAAATTTGATAGCTTCTGCATCATGGGCTAGTCAGAGAAATCTTGAATTATTAGTGCTATCTGTGATTTTATTCATCATATATTATGAACACAGCACTAAAAACACTTAAACAAGAATCTTACCTTACTACAACACAGTATGTTTTTGTATTCAAAGGAGTAAAAATTATAAAGAGTTTGACTGATGCTAGAAAATAGATTTAATCAATTTCAGAATGATGTATCAGTAACTTGTAAGGAGTACTTCAACCCTCGGGGCTCGGGTCAGGAGGTTTGGGATGATCTCAAAGATGATGGACAGCTAAACCCTGAAGGGGGTAAGCCCAGTAATAGAAGGTCAATATTTAGCCTGTGTAGTGGAAGATTTATTATTTCTAACTTCTTCATTCAGTTCATGCTACATGTATATAGAGAATATAGTGCTACTGTTGTGGAATTCTGATATCTTGTATAAAATTAGTCTCAGTTTTTTTTTCTTCTTTTTCCCAATGACTACAAAATTGGGACAAAAGCATCAGATGTTATCTAGTCTTTTTAATCAGTATATGCCTATATATGGAAAATTCATTTAACTGGCTACTGTACTCCTACCTTTCCTTATGTATGTGCCATTACCTTTCGCAAGTTTTCTGAGAAACAGAAAAATCGCAAGTTTTGTCATTATGAACAAAATATTGTCTACATCTCATTGGCAGTACATAAGTATATATGAAGATAGTTAAATTTGGATCTTCATTGACTTGATAATACAATTAATGTAGCATTGAATCTAAAAGAATCATCAAAATTAAAATGGATCTTGTGTTCAGCACTCTTAGTTTTGTATTTTATCTAACACAAGCAATGGTCTCAGCATGCTACTCCCCAATAATGACCTCCCTTTGTTTTGTAGAAAAAGTTGCTGAGAAGAGTGGGATCTTTCCCTCCCTCTCGTCTCTGCTTCAGCTTCTGTTATATATGGCACACAGTGTCCTTAGGTTATTTACAATCCCAACAGGTAAGATTTACATAGGTCACCAGGTAGACATGACACCTGACTGTCCTGACTGCTTACCTTTGTTTACCTGTGTGTGTTCATATAGAAAGCTAGTACTCACTTAATAGACATTTTGGAGGGGTGTTATAATGTTATAATGTCTGTGTATATGTACTGGTTATTAAGTTCTACTAGATGGTTCTTCAGATTTATTTCTTATGAATACAATACTTGTTTTAGATATAAATACTCAAGTACCCATATTTGGAAGCTGAGACCCTTGCATGAAATATGTGTGTTTGTTTGAAATCTTTGTATTTTGTTCCTTTCTCCTGGTGGCTGTGCAGTTCTGGTTGCTTGATACTCTAGAATGTTGTCCATTGTGATTGGGGCTTATACTAATCTCATGCATGTTAACCACTTGGCCAAATTCAATTTCTTGTGAGTACAGCAGATGTTGTGCCTGCATGATTTATTAGTGTTTTTATTTAACACAATATATACTAGCTTAAAAGACAACCTTAATGAACAATTCCTGTAGAATAAGGAATCTTTATTATATGACACTGGATTTTCCTTTTATCAAATTCTGCTCTATAGACTTGAATTACAGTTTGATTTTGAGAGGTGATTATTACAATCTTAGCTGCTTACAAGTAACTGCAGAGTTCATAGACAGCAAATGTCACTTAAATACTGCCAGCATAATATTTGTAACAATTAATTATAACACTGCTAGCATTATTTATAACGATAAGTATAATACTGCTAACATTATAAGTACAGTATTTCTGTGCTGACGTACATATAGAAAATCATAGATCTTGCATTAATAGCTTAAACTTCTTGACAGTGAATGTTGTACAGTTGTAAGCTGGAATAACAAAGACTTTATAACTGGTATTTTCAGTTTGATGTAAATATAAATCATGAAGACTCAGCTTTGTTTACCAAGAAAACACCAGGCTCCGGGACCATAAAACTTTCATAGTCTCACCGCAATCTTGGTCTCATTTTTACAAATAAATTACCTGGTATTTTTGAAAAATGTGAGACTGAGGTCAAAAAGTGAGCTCTTCTACAGATGATTTATGGTCCCTTAGCCTGGTTAATGTAGATATGTAGAATGATAAAATCAACTCAACAGGTAATTGAACCATTTTTGATATTAGGATGTAACATATATTGTGAAATCACTAATTTTCATGGGGGTTTAATTTTTGTTGTTTTTATGTGTGAGGAGATCCACGCAATAACATCCTCCGCAAAAAGTAGGATTTTAAATAAATAACAACTTAGCACTTCTTCATCCATGAAATCAAATCCCCATGAACCAATATATTTTTCTCAAACCACAAAAATTTGACACCCTGAAAATATGATTTTAGAGTACTTAATAAATTAAACACTCTTTGTTAAATGGTTTCAGATGTAATCTGTTTGATTATATCTCTTACATAATTTATTGATATTGGCAGTATATTAACTAGGACTTTGTTGTTAATATACTTGTACATTTGTTAATCTTTAACTGTCAATTGCTGTACCTAAATTCTTTAATGAATCACTCAGATTTCTAGCAATTTTTTGTGTGTGCCGTTTTTTTTAACATTAAATATGTCTTTGTTGACATACATATAGGTAATCTAAGGTTTTTATTTGCAGTTTTTATTATTAAAAAAAAGCAAGAAAAATGAAATGAACTTTTACTTAGTTGTAATAAGTATAAAAATTTATTTCATAGTTGTCTAGACAGTTTATTATCTTCCTGTATTACAGGTAGGAACACCTGTACAGGTAAAGGTGAGGAAAGTGCAGCAGCTGTCTGTGTCCAGGCCAATGTCCCCCCCAAACAGACCAGGGACCTTGAATTTACCTTGACTTGGGATATGCCAATCATCCACTTCAAAGCCAGAGAGAACTTCTATGCAAGGTTGTGCTTCAGTTTTCCATGGATATGGAAGATTTTAAGTTTTCAAAAGATTAGAAAGGAAAGGTTCATATTTGAAAAGAAGCATGGTTTTGTACATACCGGTATTTAAAACTGAATCAAACAAGAAAAGCAATAAATTTTACATAATATGTACATAATTTGTAATAAGAATGATAAATTCACACCTACATGGGATAGGATTCTAGTCTTTAGGATTATGTCAAATCACAGTGTTAAGGCCATCATTAGAAATATCCTTGTTTCCCGGAACATGACCCTGAATTCTGAAGTTGGGTAGGTAGGTAATTATTTTTTTTTTTCAGAAAGATACTTTCAACACACTTATTGAAAGTAAATTTAAAAATACCTTTATAAATAAAGGAAGTGAACAAAATAAAATATAATACACATAGAATATAATAATAAAAATGAACAGTAAATTAATTCACATAATCAGTCCTGACAAAGGGTACAAAGCATTTGTGATGGTCTACAGGGGATGCATACTCCTCTATAGCACCTAATCACACCTCTAATGTTTTCAGAGGTCTGTGTTAGCTCAGCTCAAAATTTGTATTGTTTCATTGGAGTTCTGAGCAAGATTCTGTTTGTTATCTTTTCATTGATCTTATGAAATACCTTACCAGCATCAATTTATTGAAATGGACTATTTACAAAGAGACAAGATTCTCAAATACCTAACAGTTGGATCTGTATCCACTTATATTTTCCAAATCTACTAATAGCCTCCAGTTCCTACACAGGCAAAGTTCTTCCTCACAGCAGATACTAGCATGAAAAAGATCCCTCACTCTCAATGGCCTAATGTGCCATGTACTGTTTGTATATTGTACTGGGATAATTTGTGTTTTTGTATGACAGACGATACACTCGCTGGTTTGGAATGGATGGAGAGGCAGGGCCTAGGATGTCCAGCTACGCTGCCGCTAATTATAAAACATGGGAACAGAAAATAGAGGAGTGGCAGAAACCTGTCCTAGAAAACAAGTAAGCATAGGATTATATCAGGAGGTAGCTAACACAGTAAATAATGGTCTGATTTAGAATAAATTCTCTTACATAAATGATTGCATTGATTTCAGTTGATTTGGTTATGTATGGAATTTATTAAGTAATCCTTATGTAACTTGCTGTGTTATGTCTCTTCCTGTAGAAACCTTCCTGCCTGGTATAAATCTGCCCTGTTTAATGAGTTGTATTACGTCAGTGATGGAGGGACAGTGTGGATTGATCCTGTCGAGGGACAGGGAGGGAAACTTGTGAGGGTAACAGACCCAAAGGATCCTCCCATTGTTCAGGAGTTTAGCAGATTTGGCTATCTTGAAGGTAAAACTCATTATTTCACACAAAATTTCAGGTATTACTCAAAATGAGCTCATATTTCCCTTTTAGCTCACCTGAGCCAAAAGTGCATGTGAGCTTTTCTGATCAAAATTGTTGTTGTCATAAACTTTTCACAATTTCATCTTCTTCTCTAAAACCATTGGGCCAATTTAAACCAAATTTGGCACAGTACATCTATGAGTAAAGAGGATTTAAGTTTGTTCATATAAAGGACTGCACCCTCTTTCAAGGGGAGATAAGTGAGAAATGGTGAAAATTGAGTGTGGTCACTTTAAAAATCTTCTTCTCAAGAACCATTGCTTCAGCAAAGATAAACTTATGTGGAAGCTTCCTGACACATTGTAGATTCAAATTTATTCAAATCATGGCCCTTGGGGGTAAGGTGGAGCCACAATGAGGGATCAAATTTTTATATGGGAAATATAAGAAAAAATGTTTAAGTCTTTTTCTCAAGAACAGGAGGGCCATGATTAGTTAGTTTTTAGGGAACTCTTTGAGTCAAGGAATAATCTTCACTTGGAGTTTGGTAATATTTAGTAGATTGATGAGTTGGAAAAAGGAGATTATATATTATAAATAAAAGTATTCTTTTTTTTTCAGGACATGAGTACAGGATGTATAATACATATGATGTTCACCATTATGCATCCTTCTCCCTCATCATGCTGTGGCCGAAACTTCAGATCTCTATACAGTATGATATTGGTAATTATACTTCTGTAAAATATAGAACACCAGATCTCTTTACAATATGATATTGATAATTATACTTCTGTAAAATATAGAACACCAGATCTCTATACAATATGATATTGGTAAATATAGATCACCAGATCTCTATAATATGATATTGGTAAATATAGATCACAAGATCTCTATACAATATGATATTGGTAAATATAGATCACCAGATCTCTATACAATATGATATTGGTAAATATAGATCACCAGATCTCTATACAATATGATATTGGTAAATATAGATCACCAGATCTCTATAATACAGTATTTGTACATGTAATTCTGTAAAATAAAGAAAACCAGATCATTATACAATACAGTATTGGTAAGTACACTGTAAAAGAAGAAGATACATTATGATATTAGTAATTTATGCCTTTGTTAATCTAAGAACACCTATCTCTGCAGTATGCTATCAGTAAAATACCTTTGTAAGATTCAGAACTCATGCTGTGCAGTATGTTATTTGTTAAAACCTCAGCCAGGGCTCAGTGTTTCTGATCAAAGTTTGTCTGGCATAAGTGTACGTACATGTATTTGTATTGTACATGTAGGTCTTTATGTTTGGCATTAACTTTCCACATTTCCATCTTTTACTCCAGAAGCACTGACCTAATTTCTATCAAACTTGTAAAAAAGTTCATTAGACATTAATCTCAAGAATCACTGGGCCAGAAAAGTCAAAATGTATGTGAAGACTTCCTCATAGAGTGTAGTTTCATGTTCTTCAAATCATAGTCCTTCAGAGATTATGAGACAAGATGAAGTAGCTAAAGAAATTTTATATATTCCCACCTCTGAGGTTTTAGAGGTTCGTATTTGCTCTACTCCTGATTTTTATTGTTTGAATGGACTTTGAGCTTGAAAACTGTTCAATATCTCCATATTTCATAGTAAGAAAAATTCTCTAGATGGTTGGGCACATTAAAAGGAGACCATTCCACTGTAACATAGATTTATATTTCTGCCAGTCATAGCCTAGCTGGTTGAATGGGGGCACAGTAGTGTCAAAAGTTTAGATGGAAATATGAGGAAACAATCTTGAACATTTTGTTTTTGAAAGATCAGCAGGACTGCACTTAATATGCAGATGTTCCCAGTAATCTCCATATTCTTTTTTCAGAAAGATGAAGGTTACTCAGGTGAGCATTGTAACCCATGGGTCTCTTGTTTGAAGAAACAATATTGTAATTATATAAAGAAGTATTGAATCAATCTTTTTTTAGTGAACCAAATGATATGGTTTATTTAATGTTACATTAGGAGAAAGATCTTCAATAGGATACCAGGATAGCCTTATTCAGAAGTATATATTGTTGTTGCCATTATTGTAGTTATTTGCTTTTGAGTATTTGGGATTTAAGAATCTTAACCCATTTTAACATTTCATGATAAGGCCAGTAAGGTATTAACTTGAAATACTTGTACCTGGAGAGATGTCTATTGATGAACATGCAAAGTACATGTGTATCCCACACCTGTATAGACAGAGCAGCAGCTATAAACAATAGGATCATATGATCAACACAAGTAGGTTAAGGCTAAGTGGGGGTGTTTCTATGCAAATGAGCTGATTTAAGCACATAAGAGGTTTGTCCACTATAAAGAGAAGGTTTAAACTTACTCTTTAATGCATGCTTAATACCCAAAACGTGTTATAGCCAATACACATTATTACATCATAGTATGACTACATTGTTCTCTACTACTTGAGGTAATGATAGACAACATTAACAACACAGCCTTGGTGCAAATTCATATGTTATTTAATTTTACAAAATTTTTTGTATAATAAGAGGATTCCGAAGAACAATCCAAAGATTGATGATATTGCTGTCCATATTCGATGCATTTTCTCATTTGATCAGAATTGAAAGAAACTTATGGAGGACTCTCCATTTTTTTTATGTGTTTCAACTCAAAAAATCTGCAAATAGTAACTACATGTAACAATTGAACTGTTGACATTTGTGCAGCAATATCATCAATCTTAGGTATATGCAGCTTAATATTACATCTTGTTTTTTGTCAAATTAAATACACCATGCCCTAGCACCAAGCTGTTTTGTTGATGTTGTTTATATCTCTGAGTAGAAAAGGATAATGACATCATAATATGACATCATAATGTGTATTGGATATACCATGTCATGCGTACTTAGTATGTGTAAGAAGGTATTTTTAAATCTTTTCTGTAAATAGAGAAACCTCTCATGTGTTTTAATCAGCTCATTTGCATCCCACCTATAGCCTTAACTTACTTGTGTATATATGTGCTTTTTGTTGGCAGGGTAAATTAACTTTCAACTTTCAATAAAACAGAAATTGTATAGCTGTATCTTATTATGGTGGAATTGTCAATCTCTAGAAATTCATTATTAGACATCTTGCAAAATGTTGCTAATAGAATAATAGTTTATAATATGTGGAAACCTGTTGTAAAGTCCCTTTTTTATTTTTAGCCAAAGCAGTTGAGTCAGAGGATACTACTAGAATCAAATTTCTGACCAGTGGAGAAAATGGGATCCGTAAAAGATTACATGCAGTGCCTCATGATATGGGAGATCCTGGTAAATTCATTAGATTTGATATTTATAAGCAGTTTTTGAAGCAACAAGGATATCTGAATCTGAATGTCGAAATGTGCCAGTATTTTTACTAAATTCAAGACTAATTTCAAATTCAAGATGCCTGTGCCCAATGCTGTAGATTCCTAAATATACACGAGGAATAAATTATCGCGTAATTACGCGAGAAGCACCACTCGCGAAATAAAATTACTCGCTTTTATTTTTATGGCGCTTTAATGTATGTAAAATCTCTAGATAAATCACCCATTCGCGAATTATTGTTCTCGCGATTTGACGCCCTTGAGCCATTTCGCAATATTAAGTACTCGCGTAAAATAAGGAATCTACAGTAATCACTGGGTCTGTTTGTCCATCAACTTTTTTATGTGGCAAAATATCTTGAATATCTTCAACTTTCATAATTACTAAACTGTGAAGGACACCATGTTATTTAGGCCATTTGGTGATAGTGAAGGTCAAAAGCCAAACTAGTTACCATTATTTATACATATATATGTAATGCTCTAATATACTATATGTATATACTAGGTAGAAAATGGCTACTTGATGTTGGATGTCTAATAGTAACACTAGTGATCACAGAATTTGGCCTTCTGTTTGTCTGTATGTCTGTCAGTTAAGACTTTTATTTCATACTTACTACATACATGTAGTTTGAAGACGGTTAGAGAAGACACCTACAGTTTTTGAGTCATTTGGTCAGAGGTCAGGGTCAAAAGTCAAACTATAGTAACCACTTTATAATATATCATTTATTTGATGACATTGTATATTTTTATCCTACAAACTTCATATAATATACTTTCATATAATTATGTGAAAATTGCTCAGAGGAGGTAATCTTAAGACTTTAGGGTCACATGATGACATTGTGATGTAATGACTTTGACATTTATAATCTGTAGATTGTGTTTATAAGACCTGGAGATATGTAAGTTCCATACCAAGAATATATTTTTTTTATTTTTAAAGTATCTAGAAATTTTAAAGAAAACTGAGCTATAGATCCTAATTACAGAGGATGAGCCTTGGAAGAGGGTAAACTGTTACGTGATACACCCAACCTGTAACTGGAAGGATCTCAACATGAAGTTTGTTCTGCAGACATTCCGAGACTACTCAGCCTCAAAAGACGAGGCCTATCTCAAACACATGTATCCAGTAGCCAAGGTGTGTTTTTAACATTACTTCCTGGTAAATATTCATAGCTCACCTCAACAAAGTCGAGATAGAATTATTACTATCATCCAGATGGGCTTCCTTTTATTTGTTTGTATGTTCAGTTGGTTATTTCTTAAGTAAAATATGTTTTGACAGTTACATTTTGCTATAAAGTACTGTATTGAGGGTTAAACTTGTGGATGTTTAATTTCTTCCTTGGGCAGCTGATCACAGATTTTAAGTTTGTGCAATGGAAAGTTTGCCTTAAACTTGTATAAAATGACTTTTTAAATATTTGATATTCAAATATTTCTGACTTTAATGAGAGAATGAAGATAGAGTGAAAATAAACATCATGAGTTACCCCCCCCCCCCCCCCCCTTACAACGCATGCAGTTAATTCTAACTTTTATTCATTATCATACAAATTCATACTCTCATAAATTTTCAGGCACATTCAGGAGAATCTCACTCTTACTGTAATGTGTTGAAGTATTCAGTGATCTCCGCTTTCTATATTGAATATTCCCTGCATTAATTTTGCCTTAATACTTTTGATATACACTGGCATTGATTGTGAAGTTGGAGGTGTGGAGTGCAATTTTACGTTCTGAAGGTGGATACAGACTATTTTAGATTAATTAAGTCATGACATTAAAAGAATCTAGGATTGAGCATTACCTTTTATTATATATCCAACTGTGTATCACTCGGTTTTACTGTTGATTCTACTCGATCACATGTCGGTGTGATCCGACTTTCCAAATCACCACACTGTGGTTTTCTGGGTCCATATCACCCCTCTCTAAAAGTGATGACGTAGTACACAGTATGCATGACGTTTTTTTCTTGTGTATCAAATAGTTTCTTGAAGAAAATGTTTTGTTTAATGGATAAAAGGTGTATAAATGATCCCAAAAGTTTTCTTTTTATAACATTATGCTAATTATAGAGGGGTATATAATAAATTTATCATTATAACAGTAACTTGATCCGAAGAGCTGTATAACATCTCGTTTACAGGCGCGGATCATCAGATCAAACTCGACGCTCAGCATCTCATTTGATCTGATGATCTGCGCCTGTCAACTCGACCTGATACAGCTCTTCGGATTAAGTTACTGTTATAATAATACACTTTTACTACCTATCTCTGTTATTTGACTTCAGTATGTCATGGAGACTGCTAAGAAGTGGGACGTGGACAACGATGGAATTATAGATAATGGTGGCTTTGCTGATCAGACGTTTGATGCCTGGACAATGTCTGGGGCTAGGTTTGTGGGAGATACATTATGTAAAGATCAATGAAAGTGCTCTTATAATTAACATATACTGTACATTTGAAAAGAATTTAAGAAATGGAATTTGCAGTTTTCTTCTCATTTAAATAATAAAAAAAAGGACAATCCCAATGACAACAATCCATAGTTTTCTAACAATGAGTAATTTTACCATCTGTTTACTTTCACTTTTACCTGTTTACTTTCACTTTTACCTGTCTTTGCTTTCACTTTTACCTGTCTATTACCTTCACCTTTACATGTCTGTTTATTTTTAGTGCCTACTGCGGTGGAATGTGGCTAGCTGCACTGCGTATGATGATAGAAATGGCTACCATTCTGAAGAAAGAGGATGATGTACTCCACTACAAGGAGATTCTAGACAAAGGAAAAGTGTCCTACCAAGAGAAACTTTGGAATGGTAGTGCTGCTCACAATATCTATATCAATTGTCATTCAGACAGATCAAATATTGCATCATGATATTGTAATTATTTACATTCTACAGATCTTTTCCACATTAACTCTTCAGAAACTACTAGAATCTACATGTACAGTACTACATCCTGTACATGCATATAGCAATGAAGTACAAGAAATAAGTTTAAAAAGTAACTGAGTCTTAATATAAGCATTGTGCACTATTCATTTGCTGGCAGCATAAGTTTAAAATGTAGTCATTAGGGCTGAAACAATACGCCCCCTCCATGATACAGTACGTTTCGCGATACTTCTGTCACAATTCAAATTTTTCAATACGATACATTTTAAAAAAGAAACAAATCGTTAGGTTAAAGAAAACATGTATTCAGATTTCAAAAGGCAAGTAAAAGGTGGTGATACAATAAAGAGCACTATTTGTGCTTCTGTAGATTAAAAGAGCACTTTGTTTGTGTCAATACTAGCAGTGGCAGCCTGCTCTGAAACTTTTTCCGTCTCAATTTTCTCCCTCGTGTGTGTCAAACTATCAAAATGAGGTCAAACCTGAACTATTTCAAGGAGTAACCAAACCCGATTATAAAAAAACGTACCCAACCGAAAATCGAGATAGTGAATTGAACATTGAACTGAGCAGTAATATTGAACAATACCGATATGTCGGTGCTTCGTTTCAGCCTTAGTAGTCATTTGATGCACAAACAAGATACTATATGCAAAAATAAAATACATCTTCCTATTTTAAAGTCAGATTCTTAAAACTAGATCAAAATGTACAGATATAGTTGTGTTTTGGTACTGTAAACTAACTTTTATTCACGTGCGAGAAATATCCTTTTACTTTAACCTACTTTAATTCGTGAATATTAATCGCTGTGAACCAATTATTTTGCTTTGTTTTTGAAGAGAATCTCTCTAAGTTGCAAAAATTAATTGTCGCGGATTCATTACAAACTGACGAATTGTGAATAAAAGATGACACAAATAATAGTTGGTTTACAGTATATTCTATACAAGAAATGAAAGTATATGTAGATTAAAATAAATAATAGTCTGGAAAAGAATAGCATGCTATTTTTGTTCCCTAATTTAAATACTATGGGAGTTTCTTTTAATTTGAGAAGAGAAAAAATACTTAAAATTTGTGCTTTTTATATTATAGAACACATGGAGTGCAGGCTTATCCAGTCTCCATTTCCAAATATTTATTTATATGTATGTAGTTTAAATTAGGATTTCGCATTGAGGTATTGCAGGAATCAAGTAGATGGATAAAAATAACATAAACACACATTATAAGCAATATGAAATTGATGTATTCATCATTGAATGACATTACTGTTCATGTTTAGGTTCCTACTACAATTATGACTGCAGTAAAGGTGGCCATCATGACAGTGTCATGGCTGATCAGCTGGCAGGTCATTGGTTCCTTAAAGCTTCTGGACTACAAGATGATGATGTAAGTAGAGAAATTGATACTACTTTCATGCTTCCCATTTCATAGCTCATGTTTTCATGTAAAAATCTTTTGGGGAAATGTTTAACATATCAAACATTAAATAAGTGGTCAAAAAAAACCATTTCCCTGGTTTGATGATATTTTCCTGGTTTGTAAATATTTTTTGTTTTATAAAGACTTTCTAAGCTTAAAGATAGTTTGTAAAATATTTCCCTGTTTTGATTATAATTCTTTGGTTTGTAAATAATTTTCTGGTTTGTAAGTACCTGTTTTGATGACATTGTTCTGGTCTGTAAATATTTCCCTGGCTTGTAGATATTTCCCTGGATTGATTATGTTTTGGTTTGTAAATATTTCCCTTGCTTGTAGATATTTCCCTGGATTGATTATGTTTTGGTTTTTAGATATTTCCTTTGTTTGATCATGTTTTGGCTTGTAGATATTTCCCTGGATTGATTATGTTTTGGTTTGTAGATATTTCCCTGGATTGATTATGTTTTGGTTTGTAGATATTTCCCTGGATTGATTATGTTTGGTTTATAGATATTTCCCTGGATTGATTATGTTTTGGATTATAGATATTTCCCTGGATTGATTATGTTTTGGTTTGTAGACATTTCCCTGGATTGATTATGTTTTGGTTTGTAGATATTTCCCTGGATTGATTATGTTTTGGTTTATAGATATTTCCCTGGATTGATTATGTTTGGTTTATAGATATTTCCCTGGATTGATTATGCTTTGGTTTGTAGATATTTCCTTGGATTGAGTATGTTTTGGTTTGTAGGTATTTCCCTGGATTGATGATGTTTTGATTTGTAGATATTTCTTTGGATTGATTATGTTTTGGTTTGTAGATATTTCCTTGGATTGATTATGTTTTGGTTTATAGATATTTCTTTGGATTGATTATGTTTTGGTTTGTAGATATTTCTTTGGATTGATTATGTTTTGGTTAGTAGATATTTCCCTGGATTGATTATGTTTTGGTTTATAGATATTTCCCTGGATTGTTTATGTTTTGTTTTGTAGATATTCCCTGGATTGATTATGTTTTGGTTTGTAAATATTTCCCTGGATTGATTATGTTTGGTTTGTAGATATTTCCCTGGATTATGTTTTGGTTTGTTGATATTTCCTTGGATTGATTATGTTTTGGCTTGTAGATATTTCCCTGAATTTATTATGCTTTGGTTTGTAGATATTTCCCTGGATTGATTATGTTTGGTTAGTAGATATTTCCCTGGATTATGTTTTGGTTTGTAGATATTTCCTTGGATTGATTATGTTTTGGCTTGTAGATATTTCCCTGGATTTATTATGTTCTGGTTTGTAGATATTTCCCTGGATTGATTATGTTTTGGTTTGTAGATATTTCCCTGGATTGATTATGCTTTGGTTTGTAGATATTTCCCTGGATTGATTATGTTTTGGTTTGTAGATATTTCCATGAATTGATTATGTTTTGGTTTGTAGATATTTCCTTGGATTGATTATATTTTGGTTTGTAGATATTTCCCTGGATTGATTATGTTTTGGTTTGTAGATGTTTCCCAGGATTGATTATGTTTTGGTTTGTAGATATTTCCCTGGATTATGTTATGGTTTATAGATATTTCCTTGGATTGATTATGTTTTGGTTTGTAGATATTTCTTTGGATTGATTATGTTTTGGTTTGTAGATATTTCCCTGGATTGATTATGTTTTGGTTTGTAGATATTTCCCTGGATTGATTATGCTTTGGTTTGTAGTTATTTCCACCAGACAGAGTTCTTTCCTCTCTAAAAAGAATCTTCCAGAACAATGTCATGATGTTTGAGGACGGGAACATGGGTGCAATCAATGGGACGCGACCTGACGGGAGTAAGGACATCAGCAGCTGTCAATCAGAGGAATTCTGGGTTGGGGTCACATATGGACTAGCTGCTAACATGATTCAGGAGGTGAGTGTGTGATACATGGCTTCCTACTAGCTTGGGCTAGTAGGTTACTTCAATATAATTAAAATTAGATGTTTCTAATCCTCCACCACTTCTCAAACATGTAACAACATCCCAATCGAGGTCACGTCAGAGCGACCTTTCGATGAGGTGAGTGTGTGATACATGGCTTCCTACTAGCTTGGGCTAGTGGGTTACTTCAATATAATAAAAATTAGATGTTTCAACTCCTCTACCGCTTCTCAAACATGTAACAACATCCCAGTCGAGGTCACGTCAGAGCAACCTTTCGATTAGCCAGTGAAATCGCCGCCTCCGAAATCTTGGCTTATAGTTCAGATGTGTTTTTTTTTTTCACCCCCAAACCTAAAATCCCGAGGAGTTTCGTAGTAAACAAAATATGCATTGCAAATGCCGTGCTATGTATGAATTTGACGCGAGGGATATCATGTATAGTCTGTGCATTTTTGTTTGCGTTATTCAAGTAAGATTGTCGGATTGGCGGACTATATGTGTTAATTTTATACCAAAAATAATTAAATTCAACGTAAGACAGACTACTGAGCATCAATAACTGTGGGACTAATGTATACAGAAGCTTGAATCTGATTGGCCAAATTTTTTTGTTTATTCATAATCGAAAGGTTGCTCTGTCCTGATCCTGAATGGCATGTTGTTAGATGTTTGAGA